CTTGTAGGTAAAATTGAATATAAATTAGAAGCTATAAATTGGAATGGCACTCCTCAGATTTCCCAAGTTAAACCTCTGGTAACTCTCTGCACCCTAGAAACAAACTTGAACCATCCAAGAGACAAGCTGATATCACAATGCCAGATGAAAGAAATCAAGGCAACGAAGCTGGAGAGACTCAGGAAGCAAAGGACTATGTTGGATGGCTTTTGCAAATCATAGGAAAGCAGAGGTGAGTAAAGATAACCACTGAAGATTTTATTTTATTTTTATCACAAGAGAAGTGTTTGCATTCCAGATTAAAAGCAAAACCAGTCTTAACCAACAATGTAACCTCCAATTATTTTGGATTACAATTGTAAACCCCAATCAAACATTAGGAAAGATAAACATTGATTGTGGGAAATCTATGGCTGCAATAATGCATTTTACCCACTTCACTACAATGTCTTTGAAAACCATGGTCTACAAACTACAATGGCTGTGATCACAAAGAAACTCCTTTTAAAAAGTACCTCTCAAGCTTTTGTTGTTTCACTCAGCTTTTGTAGAATATTTCATATTTTTAAGTTAGTTTTACTTTTTCTTCTATTTTCTAACTTTTCAGGGAATTCCAAATTTATTTGAGACCAATGGGAGATATTAATTTCAGATTAAAATTTCTCTGGCTTCTCCCATTCCATCATGAGATTTCAAACAGCTAATGTACAGAGAGAGAAAGAATGTGCCTTTAATGCCTTTGGGGACATTCAAATGGCATTTATCTCTCCAGAAGACACTCTTCTGGAGTATCTTCCTCCTCTATGGCAAGCAAAGCTGCTACAAATTCCGCAGCATCTGATGGAATAAGGTGCAGCTCATAAAAACATGTCTTGATAAAATGCATTATCACAGTATTCAGAGAAGATGCTATAAGATTCCTCTTGATTTTTTAAGAAAATTCAGAACAGCCTCCATGAAGAATGAGCTTGGTTCCAGTTTGATATCTTTCCAATATACTTTCATTTTTTGAACAACAGTTTAGTCAAGCAAAATAAAAAAGGCAGGAAAGACTAAAAACAAAATGTCATAAAAGTGAAGAATACAACTCACATTTTGTATATTTACAGGGACAATTTAACTAGGCATAAACTCCACCTTTGATACATACAAAGGGAGTATAACAGTTTTTAATTTAGGCTCTTGAATTGGTTTTTGTTCTGTAGTACACATTAAATTAGATGATTGTAACTAATTACAAGTTGATATCAACCTCTTCTAAATGCTGTGGATAAAAATAGCTGTCAAATAAAAAAATTATTATGAAATGCCCTAATGGGCTCTGCATACTGAAAGATGCTCCACAATCCTAGATACTGACCTAATATTTTTGTTGCCTAAGCAACTATAAATTTGGGGAAGGGGTATCCTCTCAGCTTTATCCAGAAAATTAATAACTCTTTCTTTTGTTTGCTTGTCTTGGTCTTGATCTGACATTCCATAGTCTTTTTCTTGTAGACCTTCCTTTCTAATGGATTCAGATGAATGGAAGAACATCCAGAGGCAAGAATTTCTGGTGTGGCTGATTTTTGCTGACCTCTGTAAGCTAGTGTGAGTAAATCACTCTTTTATTCACATCTTCCTTGTTCTGAAGACCAGGAACGTATCAACTGTACATAAAAACACATGGTCTTTCATGGGTCTTTCATTGAAACACAAAAACAGTACCCTGTCTAGTGAGAGGTCCACAGTCAAAATGTATGTGAGAGAACTTCTCTCAGATATTATTCACTGTTGCTAGTTGGTAATCATACATTTATTGCTTCAAAAGGGGGGAGATATACAGTTTACTGTAATTATTTGCAACAACTTCATTTAACCAATATATTGAAATTATTGAAAAAATTGTTTGGGGTTTGTAAGATATGGATAAAAATGTTTGTACTGATCATACACTGCCTTTTTTTCCTCAAATCGTCAGGCTATTACCAAACTAGATTTTTCACCATCTTCATTTATAATTTTTCAGAATTCCATAGATTCCTAGAGGAAGAAGCTGGATCTACTTTTCCTTTTTCAATTTGAACTACTTTGTACCATTTATTAATGAGTTTGTCAATGCTGACACTGACAATAAATGATTTATTCTCAAGCCAATAAATGATTTAGCTTGTTATTCAATAAGAATAGAAATGGGGATATGAGACTTCTGTTAAAGACCACAATACTGGCCATCAATAATTGTCATTGTTCCCAATCAGAATGCTCGTTGAGCTTGTAGTCTAACAAAAGAAAAGAGCATCTGGTTGGAAAAGGTTGTTATTTGTTAATTGGTGAGCTATTAAAGGCTGTGGATAAAACCCCGAAAGAGGTTCACATTCTATTTCTAAGTAATTCAATGATCTGAGGCTTTTAACTTTCATCTCAAACATAGCTTTAGATTTGGACAAGCGATCTGAGGTTATATACCATTAAGAGTCAGATTCTTCAATTATCCCAATAAATAAAAACAATTTGGGAGAGAAATACCGTATCTTCAAAACTAAGAATTGCAGAGCAATGTGAAAATAAGCAACAAAAATCTCTAATTCTCTGAATGCTGCAATGAGGAAAAGTTGAGCTTCTGCAACTCCAAATAAATGGAATGCATTTCAGGATATGTATTGTGTGAAAGCAGATTAGTACAACCTCTTCTTCCTCAACTAAAGTTGCAGAGCTAGGCTTTTGTTTCCTGTTCTCCTTGTCTCCTTGGAAGCTTGAAGAGAATCTGGTGTCAAGGATAGGATGAGGAATATAAAAGGAACACAAAACAAAAGGCATACAGAGGGCAAATGGGGGCTGGCCTGTCACCAAAAGAAATGAAGCATGCTCCCAACAGCCTGGAGCATTCAAAGCACACTTTGAAAGTACATTCTCAATAGGACAGTGATAGTGAATCACCTTATATATAAGGAGAAACAACGTATCACAGGTAGTCTTTGATTTTCAACCACAATAGAGCCTAACATTTCCATTGGCAAGCAAAGCAGTTAAGTAAGTTGTACCCCATTTTACAAATTTTTTTGCTCCAGTTGTTAAGTAAATCATGCAATTGTAAAACAAATCTGGCTTCCCCCATTCTCTCTACTTGTCAGAAGCCAGCTGAGAAAATTAAAATGGTGATCAAATGGTTCCAGGGCAGTGCAAATGTTATATAGCAATAGCAATAGCAGTAGACTTATATACCGCTTCATAGGGCTTTCAGCCCTCTCTAAGCGGTTTACCGAGAGTCAGCATATTGCCCCCAACAATCCGGGTCCTCATTTTACCCACCTCGGAAGGATGGAAGGCTGAGTCAACCCTGAGCCGGTGAGATTTGAACCGCTGAACTGCTGATCTAGCAGTAGCCTGCAGTGCTGCATTTAACCACTGCGCCACCTCGGCTCATATATATATGCCAGTTGCCAAGCACTCAAAATTTGATCTTATGACTATGGGATATTGCAACGGTTGTGTGTGAATACTAGTCATAAGTCGCTTTTTTTAGTGCCATTGTAATTTTGAACAGTCACCAAATGGTTCTAAATCAAGAACTACTTGTACAGATTATGTATGTATGTATGTATGTATGTATGTATGTATGTATGTATGTATGTATGTATATTGAAGATGTGGGATAGTTTACACAAGGGAAAAAATAGAATTTATTGGACATAGCTAAAAAGAGAATCAAGACAGGAAAGTGCTGTTGTCAAGGAATAATTAAGTACAAGGGGATTATACAGTCTTATAAACTTTGTTGTAAGGTATGTTCAACAGTATCCTTCCCCAGATTGGCACTCTTCAAATGTGTTGGTTCATGACTCCCAAAATTCCCAACGCTGAGAGGTTTGGATTGCAAGATCCTAAAAACATCTGGAGAACTCTACAGCTCTAGTTCAACTCTAGTTCAAGAAGACTCATCAGTGTCACCATGGTTGTGTCTTCCACAATGTGCTAAACTATTAGCTGGACCATATTTTATTAAATTATTCCAACTGCTGGAGTTCACAAAATACAGAATCATAAACCAGCCACATTAGGTGGATTCACATGGGGGGGGGTGTGAAATTCAGCAGGTTCTGACAGGTTCTGGAAAACCAGCAGCGGGAAATTTGAGTAGTTCAGAGAATCAATAAATACTACCTCTGGCTGACCCCCGAGTGCGGTGGGAATGGGGATTTTGCAGTATCCTTCCCATGCCACGCTCACCAAGCCACGCCCACAGAACTGGTAATAAAAAAATGGAATTTCACCACTGATTCACATAATACAGTGAACCATAATTAACCAATCATATTTTAATCTCTCACGTTAGCAAAACACTTTCTCAAAATTCTCAAAGGCTACCGCTGCAACCCATTTCTTGTTGAAGTTGCTTACTTCTTGAATATAAAGCCCCCAGGAACTTAGAAAAATGACTGAACTTGGGAGAGAAAAATCTATTTCCTTCGCCAGCAAGGTGTGTAAACTTGACACCTGAGCATTCATTACACTATTATCGTGGCTACTTTCGGGTTTTCAACTGATTGATCCGAAATCGTGCCTTTTATTATCGTCCTGAACGCTCTTCTTCGGCTGACGTCCACCGGGGCTGCGATACGGAAGGTTGTGCATCATGGGAGCTGCAGTCCAGTGCCTCTAGCAGGGGTCTCCAACCTTGGCAACTGTAAAACTTGTGGACTTCAACTCCCAGAGTTCCTCAGCCAGCTTTGCTACCTGAGGAACTCTGGGAGTTGAAGTCCACAAGTCTTACAGTTGCAAAGGTTGGAGACCCCTGCTCGAGACAGCAAAAGGTTGGGAGGAAGTCGGTTAAAGATGTAGCAAGGGCTGTGCGAAGATTTCTCTCTTTTAGCCTCCGTTCCCCTTTTTAGGATTTCAGTATCAGACCAATAAAGTGGACCCCACCCCCCTCGAGTCAAACGGCTCCCTTCTTTGTCAGAGCGATAGAAGGAAATTATCAACCCAGGCGCACTTCCTACTTGTCGTATGCTGATGACGCAGTGGAGACGAACGGGGTTAGTTATACGGCCAGTCGCCTTGCCTTCCTCTGCAAGCAGCTCGGATCCGAAGGCTGTTTTCCTCCTTCTCCCTTCCCCACCCCCGGGCAAGAGATGCACCGCCGGGGCGTGGGGGCCGGCGCCATCGCCAAAAAGAAATTGGCAGAGGTGAGGTCCTTCCCTTCCGAGGAGTGAAGTCCCTCTTTCCAGAAGAAAAGGATTTCCTCTTCCTAGCCAAAAGTGCTGGGAGTTTTCTGCTGGGGCCTTTCCGCCTCTCGGGTGTCGCGTATCCAAGTGGCGAGGAGGCCTGGGTCGGGGTTGCAAAGGGATTAGACTGATGGTGGGGAATATACTTTGCACACGCCCAGAGGTATTAGTCCTCTTCAATAATGATTGTGCTAGAAATTAACTCGTGGAATTTCTTATTTTTTCCCCTTATTCATTTCTTGTACTAAATCAGCTCCTGAAAGTTAGTCCACTCTGCATTCTTTATTAACTTTATCTCTGAAAATGTTTACATCCTATTTTCTTCTATTAATTCTCCATACTTTTAGGAAGGACTGATATCAAATTTATTTATCAATGTATATACTGCTCACAGGGGATGCGGTGGGTCAGTGGCTGAGCTTGCTGATCAGAAAGGTCGGCAGTTCTAATCCCTAGTGCCATGTTACTTGTCCCAGCTTCTGCCAACCTAGCAGTTTGAAAGCATGTAAAAATGCAAGTAGAAAAATAGGGACCACCTGTGATGGGAAGGTAACAGCGTTCTGTTCATAGTTATGCCGGCCATATGACCACGGAGACTCTTTGCTTTAGAGTCGGGAACAACTAGCACATATGTGTGAGAGGAACCTTTATCTTTATGCTGCTCACCTCATGGTTTGAGGTGACTGAGTGTCTATCAACATTAAAAATATGGATGTAGAAACTATTACAGGTATAAAAACATTAAAATTACAAATAATTAAAACAAAACTAGAGAACCACGGGTTAAGAGCAGAAGGTGATGATGACTTTTCTGTTATTACAGTAGCTATCTCCAGGGACAGACCTCATCTCCTGCAGGAAGATGTTTCAAAGAGCCAGGAGTTGTGTCAGAAAAGGCTCTTTAGCTGTATCCCACCAGCCACAAGTCCTTGGTTGATGGGGTCCACAGTAGGCCTTTTCTGCCAGCACGAGGGGGCAGGCAATTCCATACTTAGCTTTGCCTTGCAGAAAGGAAAGAGGCGCTGAAGTGACAACTTGTTCTAACCATTCATCTGTTTTCTAACCATTATCTATATTTTGTGGTACATCCTAAAACAATGTATTATTTGGCAATATTTGCCAGAATAAAGACTACCTTGAGTAGAGGTCAATTCCTGATGCCTTAATTTTCTTCCAGGATGTTTGCAACTCTTCAAGGTAACCTATAGCTTTGACATTTCCTTGAGGTTTCCCATCTATGTTCTAACCAAGTCTATTCTTGTTTAGGTTTTTGAGATCAGCCAAGGTTGGCTAGATGCTACAATTGAATCTCATACATTGGCTGGAGCCAATGGCCCTGGTGAAGGTGGATTATACATTTTATATAGGGCTATTTTTGAAAACCACTTGGAAACTGCAATTGGGGCAAAATGCAGGGACCTGGTTGTGAGTTAAAGCTACTGTAGATATTTTACAACTGTTTTATGGACCCTGCATTAGTTTCCAATATTCCCAGTGCAATTGATGTTGTTTTTAATGTGACTTTTAAGAGTTTGATATGGCTTGGCTCCCAGTTACCCTCAGAATCACTTCTTTCGTAAGGAATTGGCCTGTCCAGTATGGTTATTAAAGGAACAATTATTAATTTGTTCCTCAAATGAATGTGATGAGACGAGAAATTATAGTACTGATCTTATAGACTCTAGTTGCCTCTTGGGAATAATTCCTTCTCCAGACATCAGAATGAGGTTTGCTTGTCCTAGCTTAGCATATTACATGAACATAGCTGCTCTGTTTCTTAACCATGGTTATGGTTTAGTATGTTGTGCAAACATAGTTAACAAAGCCTTATATAAAATGTTTATGGAAAAGAATATTCTCATCTGATAACAAAAAAATTAAGCCTTCAGTATCAAAATATTTCATGGAGAAAATTAAGTGGTCACTAAGAATCTATATGAATAGCACAATCATAATATGATTAATTTTATCAATAATAATAAAAATTGATGATTTCTTTTCTTAGGCCAAATATAAGGAACGTGGGACAGTTTTGGCTGAAGATCAATTAGCCCAGGTGAGATAAGAACATGCCTATATTTGTTTTTGGAATTGGAAGGATATATGTAGCTGTGATCCCAGGTTGTAACTCTAAACTTCTATACAAAATGTGCTTATAATTCATAGAACACAATTACATAGGTATTGAAATGATCAAGAATATCAGCAGCTTAGAGAAAAGGCTAGAAAAGTTCTATGTAAAAATGTGTGATAATAATATTTAAACACTTGCAAACTTCCTATAAATTTTGGTCATTCTCAGTAGATTGTTGCTTGGGTTAGATGAATTAAACCAACGTTTTGAACATTGACATTTGAATTGGAGAATTCACAATATTGTGCAATATATTATGTGTGGAAAGTTATTTAAAAGAATGTTGTAGTATTTCAAACCAGCTAATTTTGTTGCTCTATTGTCTTTTTCAAATACATTTACAGATGTCTAAGCAGCTGGAGACTTTTAAAAGTAACCTAGAAGAGTTTGCTAGTAAACACAAACAAGAAATCCGTAAAAATCCTGAGTTCAGAGTCCAGTTCCAAAACATGTGTGCAACAATTGGTGTTGATCCACTAGCCTGTAAGCAATGGGGAAGGAGTGGAAAACTTTAATGGGGGAATCAGAGCTCTTCAGTTGAGGTTAACTATGCCTAGCATTTCTCAGTTAGCTGCAGGTATTGAGCATTAAGCAATATCTGGTCTTCTTTGTTCTTTAGATATAAAAATGGTCTGTGCTGAGTGTTATTTATAGCCAACAAAAATTAGAATAAAGAGATAGTTGTAAAGCTTTTTTAGCAAATGGGAAATCTTTAGAATAGCCTAGTAAATCAGTCCGCAAGTATCACTAGTCTTCAGAGTTTTTCTCCCTAAATTGTCATGGTAAGGTTTCAAGTCCTTAAAGGAGTGGAAATGCAGGATGATATAGTAAAATAACTTCCTACCAAGGAGACTGACAAAGTATGGATGCAGCTAAACAAGATGGATGGCAGAATGAATAACCTATTGTTTATTTAAATGTTTATCAACCTCAGTAACGTTGAAATCTGTGGACTTCAATCCTGGGATGGGGAATTCTGGAAGCTGAAGTCCAAACATCTAAAGTTGGTGAAGTTGAGAAATACTGTTTTATTCCACCCTTCATCACCTTCTATTCATGTACATAGAATTCCGTGTCGTCATTGGCAGAAAGTAAACTGTTCTGTCTTGTTTCAGTAGGAAATGAAAATAAAAGAAGAAATGGATGAGATGGATAAGAGGGGAAATGGATCAGCATTAGATAGCAAAAAGTTTCTAAAGCATAAAGAGAGGCAGTCATAATTTCCCTTTAAGGACTAGGAGACTTTGTGAGGAGAGGAATGTCCCTCTGCGAAAATGCATAGTTCTTTTTCCCCCGCTAAAATAACATGCATCTTTCTTTCCTTTTTTTTCTTTTGCAGCTGGTAAAGGATTTTGGTCAGAGATGTTGGGTGTCGGAGATTTCTACTATGAGCTGGGTGTCCAGATTATTGAGGTCTGCTTGGCTCTCAAGCACAGAAATGGAGGTAACTATATTCAGTAATTCAATGCAGGCCCCAAATTTCTGCTGATGAATTTCACTAGTAAAGTGTTCTACATGTAGGAGGCCTTTTGCTTCCATTCCTACCCATCTCCCCCAATCAAATTAATGTTTAGGCCTTTTTTGTTTTTCTGCAATGTTAAGTGAGTGGTAGATCCACATATTCTCATTCTCTCCCCACTTAAAATTCAAATGAAAGTTCATTTTTCCCCACCCGGTGTGGTGATGTTACTTCTGTTCCAATAATTTCACATTCAAGCCTTGGAAACTTGAGTTTCTAAATTACAATTCCTAAACCCACTTTCATTGCCCATCTCTGTAATACATGGAGTCTTCAACTTACAACAGTTAATTTAGTGACTGTTCAAAGTCGCAACAGCTTTGGAAAAAGTTATTTAGGACTTTTTCACACTTACAACCATTGCAGCTTCCCCATGGTCACATGATCAACATTCAGATGCTTGGCAACTGGTTCATATTTATGATGGTTGCAATGCCCCAGGGTCATGTGATCATCTTTTACAACTTGAGCAAAGTCAACAGGGAAGCCAGATTCATTTAACAACCATGTTACTAATTTAACAAACTAAACTATTTAACAACTGTGGCAAGAAAAGTTTTAAAATGAGGACAAACTCATTTAACTCATTTAGCAACATAAATTTTGGACTCAATTGTGGTTGTAACTTTAGGACTACCTGTAATATACTTTTGTGATTATCATATCCTTCAAACTTTCTGGATATACAAATGCTATCTTCCAGAAATATTAACAATTCAGTGTTATATATTGTAGCTAAGAAGTTAATTCCAGTAATTTAAGTATGTACAACCAAGTATAAAACCAAGTAATTAATTTTTGCTTTAGAGACACTTAATTTGAGAAAATATCCTTAAACATTTTACGCATATCTGTAGCCTGTTTCACACTTTCTACTAAATCAAGATGAGTACACTGTGCAGTCCAGCAGCTCTTTTAAAGATCCCCAGAGTGGATAGGTCTTTGTTTGCAGGATTAAGAGATAACCTCTCATTTTTCTCCCTAAAATGTTGAGAATTTTAACTCAGCTTCAGTACCAGCTTCAGTAGCATCATGACATAACATTATGATTCTAAAGCTCTTTTTTAAAAAAAATTGCATTGCAATCTTATATACATTTATTTAGAAACAAATACAACTATGTTCAGTGGAACTTATATCTTGGTAAGTGTCTATGGGATAACATACACATGCCTGTTAAGAAATGAGTCTCATTTTAGTTAATGGAATTAATCAGAGATACTGTCCACATGACCACGGAGATGTCTTCAGACACCGCTGGCTTTTTGGCTTTGAAACGGAGATAAGCAACACCCTCTAGAGTTGGAAACAACTAGCACATATGTGCGAATAGACCTGGGAAAAATTGGTTTATACAATTACAGTCTTAATTTACAAAATTTTTGGTAGGATTCAACTGTTCTTACAAACTGCCTCTTGTTTCCTTTTTCCCTCTAGGATTAATAATATTGGATGAACTCCATCAACAAGTGCTCAAAGGAAGAGGAAAATTTGCTCAAGATGTTAGCCAGTAAGTGATACATTCATAATTTATGTGGGGGAGTATAATTTTAACAATTAATGAAAAAAACATGCAGGTTATGGTAATAATTGATAACCATAATGATTATGGTTAACATTATTAGTCGTGACCACAGTATTTTCATTGGTGACTAAGTTTTCATGTTGAGCTATAGTTCCAACATATTGTATAAAAATGAATACTTTGTTGTACCAGATATGCCTACAGTTGCTTTTCAAACTTGGCAACTTTAAGACTGTATTTGTATCTTTAAGCTTTATTGACATAGGGAGTAAACTATATACAAGATACCTTCCAAATAGACTGACTGGGCAGATACTAGGGCTAGGCAGATTATAACAGAAGAACAGGCAGGTTTCAGAAAGGACTTATAGTACTATAGATGGTTATAACACCTGATTCACAAATCCATAAATGGGCCCTCAAAATATTTATATGCAACATTTATTGATTTACCATCTAATACAATAAATAAAGGGAAAGATTATATAATATATACATCATGTGAAGACACTTACATGCAAGTATGGGTAAATCACAATGGCTCCCTAATAAATCAGATTAAAACTACAAAAGGTGTTTGCCGGGCTTTATATTGGACCCCTTCATCTTTAATTTTTAAATAAACAATATTGTAGAAGAGTTTAACAATCTTTCCTTTCATGCCCTATCAATTGAAACCAGAAAGGCCCCTATATTACTATATGCAGTCAACATTCATATCAACATCATTAATTGGAATTAAAAGAATCGTGACAAAGTTTGGCACTTACTGACAGAGAAACTATTCTAAAACCAAAGTAGTCATTTTTGTCAAAATGAGATATGGTCACCAAGAGATATGGATTTACCCTAGATGGTGAGAAGATGTGAGGTCATTTAAATATTAATTATATGATTTACTGAATCTGTATAATGAAAACACATATAGCACCAACAAGAATGACAGCTATGAGATCCATGAGAATCATTTGGTCCTTCTCCAAAAAGGAAGACAACCAGTATAGTTATGCTCAAGATCTTTCCCAGGAAAGCAATACAACAGTTAATATATGGGGAGTAAAGTCTGAAGGAATTCTCAGAAAGACACGTTGAAGTGTCCCCCTTCTCTTTTCTAGCCTATCTCTAACATTAAGAAGTTATACAACTTCAAATTTCCCTGTATCTCACTGCAAATATTATTTTGCCATGCTTGAATTTTTGAGGGTCCACGTTGGATTCCTAACATCTTTATAATTATAAAGGCTAGAAATTTGTCTTTTTGTGCTTATGCTTTGACACAAATACTGTGGTTGTTGGGGATTCCATTCTGCATTTCCCAGTGCAATTTTCTGTGTATTTTGAGTAGGTGATTTTGAGGAATTGAAACATATTGCTCTGGTATGCCTTATTTTTCCTCTCCTGATTTTCACAGAGATGACCTTATCCGAGCAATTAAGAAGCTGAAAGTTTTAGGAAATGGCTTCGGTATTCTTCCTGTTGGTGGGACATACTTGATCCAGTCTGTGCCAGCTGAACTAAATATGGATCACACTGTTGTAATACAGCTTGCTGAGGTGCCTATACTAGAAAAGAATAAATGAATGGAATCATGACTGTGGAGTTTTATTTTTATTTAGCCAGTTATGGAAACTTTTTTAAATTTAACATTTTAAGTGCTTCTGCATGTTGAATTGGAGATTTGAATAAGAACTACAACAAGGGGGATAAATTCAGGGATTGTATAATCTAGTTTTGGGAGAGAAGAATTAATCCTACCTTTTTGTATGCTACAGTGTCAGTCTGTATTGGGTCTTATGTTTATTAAAAATAAAAAAGTAAGTAGTTGGGAAACATTTAGAGCAACAAAAGATGAATTAATAATTATTCGTAGATTGCAATTCCTTTCATCTAACATATATTATGCTTGTTTCACAGAACTATGCACATGAGCTATGTACATCACATTGAAGCCACAGTCAATAAGCCAAATACTAAACTATCATTTCAAACTGTTTTTTTTTACCCTAAACAAACCATAGATTATTCAGATCTCTATTCAATGTCATGCTAAGCAAAAAACAAACATACTGTAGGTTTCCTATTAGACAGCTTATCAACCGAGCAGTTCTTTTTCCCAACGTGGACAGTTCAGTCTTAGCTGTTCTTTCTCCAGACAGATTTTAGAATTCTGTTAATAATTTTGAGTAAGTCCCATTTTGTATTAAACTGTTTCCTCATAGTTTCATTAGGAAAAAACTGGTAAGGAAATCTTTTCTGAAATTAATTTTAAATCATAGATATTAGGATATTATTTGATGTTTGGGCATGCAAAGTACATGTTCTGCTTTTGATATATCTCCTCCCAAACAGCAGTCACTAAATGTATTTTATTCTCTTTTTTTAATGCATTCTTTTTCTGCCTGGGTAAATTTACTGAAATCCTATTTTTTCCATTCTTAATTTCAGAAAAAAGGGTATGTGACTATAAGTGAAATCAAGTCCAGTTTAAAGTGGGAAATGGAACGAGCCAAGCAAGTGCTGGTATGTCAGTAATTTCGATATATAACAGCCTGAATTTAGGTTTAAAATTGAGATTTTTAAAAAGTTAGAAATACTATTTTCTCCAGAGGCTGATAATATTTACAGAATCCTCATATGTCATCTTGTTTAATTCATTAATGGGGCCAGCGTCACAGTAAATTTTGTAATATTTCAGTTTTTGTTCTTCAAATATTTCTTGTTTCTAGGCAACCATCAAAGCCATGAGATTTTGGGCAAGATCACTGATATATAGGGGAATAAGCTTTTTCAACTTTAAAATAATAATAATAATATGTAGTCTTGCTTGAAATGACTCAGTGGCATAAAAATGTTGCTGAGCTTTGCATTGTGTCAAGATGTTTATAATTATATAATTATGAAATTCTCCCTATTCAGCATTTCAGTCAGTCTGTTCCCACCTTCTCTCCCAAATATGAACCAGTGTTTCATGGTCACTAAACATGCTCAGTACCTATGACAGTTTGTACCATCATCCACTTACTTTTGGTTACTATTTTTCTGTTCTTTTTTCTTCCCCAACAGGATCATTTGCTGAAGGAAGGGATGGCCTGGCTTGATACACAAGCTCCAGGAGAGCCACAGTACTGGCTACCTGCCCTCTTTACCGAACTGTACTCTCAGGAAATCACACCCGAAGAAGCAAAGGAAGCTTTACCTTGACAGTATCAAAGATGTGTATTAACTGAACATGGAATTAGGTTGATTGCTGGTTGTTAATATGATAACATTGAACAGTAGTTATTATCTTGGATCTTAAAATATAAGAAAATTTCTGCTTTGCTAATAACTAATTTCAGCATGTGTTTGATACTAAATGTGGATTTCTGCCAAATGAAGGTTTTTATTTCACAAGCAAGTTTCTGGTTCTTGTAATGGGGATGAGACAGCAGGAGTCTGTCCAAAATTGTAGCCTTTTCTTTCAGTTATTGTAAATGTTTAGAATGAGGACTGATGTCAGATGCTAAAACTGTTTGATTTCTTTTCATTTGCTTATCCCAAGATTGTTGAGTAGTATATTGACTGAGCTATATACATACTGAATCCCTTCTCTTGTAAAGGGTTCTGTGTAAGTCTTTCTCTGTATAATGAAACAGCAGGAATTCTTTATTGCTACTTGGATTTGGGGTAAAGGACCAAACTATTATTGTTATTTCCAACTTATGGATCATTGGAGGTTTCCACTATTTCATTTTTTTTTAAGCATTTGGAAAGACAGTTTAGAAAGTCATGGGTAATTCTTAGTCCAATTTCAGCCATTCAGGCAGTCAGGATTCCTCTGACCTGAGATACTGTGTGAAAATATACCTTCACAACCGTAACCATGTTGTGCCTTAGCATGTTGAAATCTGTAAACAGTAAATATACCCTTCCATATTTGTGCAGTGCACATACAAATTTGAAATTCATAAAGCTATGTCTTAAATTTCATGTGAATATAAAACTTTATTGACATTTGAAAAACCATTGATTGCATTGAAGTCTTACTGATTTCCATAAAATAACAAGCTTATGTTCTGGATATAATTCATGGATACAAAAAAACACCAGGATAAAACTTATTTGAAGATTTATTACTCATGACCGAAAAGTTACACAGCCTGGTAAAAGAGTTTTCTGTAGCTATATTCACAGATCATGCCACGTGGAAGAAGAAACTGCTTCCTTTAACATCCTAAGAATCATCTTATGACTTCATACAAAATACAAGGGAAAATTTATTGGGAATAATTTATGTGCAGAGTTGGCCTGCTGTAGATTGATGCCCTATCCAATGATGTTGAGGTTACGAATATATCAAGAGACAGCTGTTTATCTAGAAGATGCAAGCAATAGGCTAATGACTTCCCACAAAAATTACTGGACAGTCATCCTGTAGTGCAGGAACTCAATCTAAGCTACATTTTACTTCAGCCTATTAGTAAAAAAAATTCCCCCTCAGAATTCCCTATCAAGAGGTGAAACAATACTGATGGAACATTGGCAATAAAATGAATAGTAAACTATTTTGAATGTGAAATTAATATTTCCAATGTACAAAAAATAAAATCTGAATTTCACATTAATTTGGAAGATTAACTTATTAACCAAGTAGATCAGTGCTTTGGGAATTTTTCTCGTTATCCAAAAATGTACAAAAAGCCATTTTCTTTTCATGCATTTTTGAAATAGTCAGAACTTTTATTTTTCAGGTTGAAATGTAAGGTTTCCAGATGCCTTATGATTTTTCAGGATTCAGATTAGCCAATATTTGCTTGCAGTCAGTGCACTGTATATCTGGTTGCTTATCTTGAAGACTAAAAAACCCAAACTTGATAAAAGACTGATGCTTCAATTTCTTAATTGTGACTGAGCTTGTATCATAAAAAGAACCAACACCCAACAGTACTGGATTCCCCCTCTTCTCCCCCCCCCCCCCATTCCTTGAAATTATATCAGTTTGTAACCAATGATTGGTATTTGAAACACTATTAGGCTTATTTTTTTAAAAAAAAACAACACTTATCTACTTGAGCATTGACGGCATGGATTTCTTTCATTGTGATTGCCGGAAGCTACTGAAGCACCACCTTCCTATTGCCTTTGCAAACACAGTTCTCCAAGTTTGCTCTGGAGAAAGTTGCATTCCAGAGCAATTTCAGGTATACTGCACACTGCAGCCAACAGTATAATCTTATATTTCTTTACCACTGGTAATTCCTGTAGAGCTCAACAGGACTGTTTAGCAGGCATGTACATAGGAAACCCCCTTAAATATTAAACATACATTCACATACCCATATGCAAATGCTGTCTGTAGTGTTGAAGTGGAAGGAAGGGAATCACCACAATCATTCATTCAGAATCAGAGTTTGGCCTTTTTTGGAATTTGGGGTAAGAGAGGGAATCAAATTTATGTGTTCACAAATAGAATGGGAAAGGCAGCCGTCACTTCTTGTTCAGTACTTGCAAATCCTAGTGACCGGTACTGTCAAAATGAGAGTGAATGGCAGGAGGTTAGTGGGTTTTTTCCCTTTCTCTTGTGCAACTCATTCAAGTCCTCCCAGAACCTAGCATGGGAAATCTATTTAACCAGTCAAAACCAAACTTGCATTATGGCTTTGAATAATATGTGAAACAATTTTGCAATTTGCCTAGGAAAGCATTGTGGCTCAATGTACTTCTGAATTGGAAGCACGAAAGGCGCTTCCATTTCATATATTCTTAAGTTCACATGATTATTATTCAGGTCTGTATTTTCCTTTGTTGGCCACACGATTTTTGGAAGCCTTTTGAGAATGGATGTACCAAGGGATTTAGTTTATATGCTGCCTGGAGAACATCAGTTACACACATCTAATATACATATTTTTATGTCATCTGAATTTTGCAATTGGAGATCTCTAGAATGCTTGATTAGGATTATTCTCTTATCTCCATTGCTTTTGGAAGAACAGAGTTTAGAACACTTTCAAGATCATAGGCTGGAGCTGAACAATCTAGCCTCCAGTAGGAAATTCCATCATTGCAGATCTGGTAATGATGCTGGAGAAAGCATATGTTAAGTATATTTATATAGTTGTTCTTCCAGTCTCTAACATACATTACGGATAGGTAGCAGCTTTACATTTCAGATATGACACAGTTGAACTCCAGATCCTACTTTATTGCACCAAAAAAAAAAAAAAAAACCCTTATGTACAACTGTATATAAACAAGGTTTCTTTATTTGAAGATCCTTGTGCATGTTTCTTTTTTTTTCTTAAGCTTGCTAGGTCTAAAATTATGTCACTAACATTTGTCTAGATCAGTCATCTAGGATTGTCACTTCTTAAAATGGAAACGTTCAGAAGACAGATAATTATGGGCAGCTACAAAATCAGATTCCTTTTTTTCTTACACCCACATGCGAGCCACATGAAAAAAAAATCACATAAGGCATTTTTCATGTTTTGTTTTAAAGAAATGTATGCAATACTTCCAATAGCCAACATGCACCTGGAGTTAAGATGCCTTGAAATCACAGTGCTCTAATCCAGAAGCACTTCTAGCCCTAGTGAATAGCCAAATTTATTCAGTTGGCACAGAGTGCATAAGGCCTAAGTCTCACTGATACCAGGAGGACTTAAAAATTACATCCCTTTGATTTTGAGGGAAGTGAGAAGAGAATAAGTAAATCTGTCTTTTGTTGGATTATATCTAGAGATTAAAATGAACATGATAAAATTTGCCTCTTGAAGCCTTCCCTTTTACAAGGCATCTACATGTAAACTTGTATTGCAATGTTTTTTTCCAGATACCACCAGCTATTCATATCCCTTGGACAGACTCTTGGGGGAGAGGAAAGACAGAGAAACAATTCTACTTTGTTTTTAGATATAATTAATTTTTCCAATACCCAAAACTGCAGGGTATTTTGAGCAGCAGACTGCCCTCTCTTATATCCCAAAGGAAGTACAAGAACAGCTGGAAGGATGCTGCCTATGAACATACAGGTTGTTTAAAGGGAGAGGTGAGATGGATGGCAGGTACAAGCATTGAACCCTGTATGTTACTAGGCTGATGGCTAAATACAGTCTTTCCCATAGAATGGCTCCTGCTTCAGATCACATGTGCATCAATAATTAACATAAATTCCTCCAATTTTCTAAAAGCTTAGAGACAGTTCTAAAAGTGCTAAGTCGTCTGGATTTTCTCTAGAAAGACTTTAAATTCCTACATTTAAAAAAATCTTCAGAAATCTGGAATCTTTTCTGTATCATAGATGCAACCTGTAAGAATGGAGTTATGATAGATTTTATAGAAAAACTCATCCACTACCGTGCAATTCCATATTCCAGGTTTCAATAAATTCTTATTAAAATAAGATCTGATCCTTTGACTGGATAGTAACAACAATTTATTCCCCAGGCGTAACAGTCTAAGAGACATTGAGCATATTTCTTCTTTCTCTGTCATGAAACTCCTAGGTAGGTTCCCCCTGCCTCCCAAAAATAAAGCATGGAAGCTAAAGCTACTTCAGATAAACATGCTAATTTGTTGGTTCTGCTGCACTTATTTGTACTTCAGTTCTGCAATCATTATTTCTCCCTCACTATATATAACCCATCCCCCAAATTATATCCATCTTACTAAAGGAGATATTTTTTTTTCTCCTTTAGAACCATTGACTTGCACAGTAGGCTTGAAACCTGAATTTTAATTCTTTTCCTGGACTGCGTTTTACTCCTTTCTGCCTGGACTTCCTGAAAGTCACGAAAACAAGGAGTTAATAAAGCTGTGGAAACTTCAAAACAAAGCAAAACAAAACATGAAGCCCAGTTCCAGCAAAAATTCTTCTTTGGTCTGTCTTTAAGACAGACAACATCAAACCAATTGGGAAGCTACAGTGCACCAGATCTGAAGAAATAGGATGTGATGTACAAATAGTCAAAAAGTGCTTTAACAGACTCAATTACTGGGAGCCCATCAAGGTGTCAAAACAAGCTGGGAGGGAAGTGCCAGGAATATGCAGTACATTTATGAAACAAGGACAATGGAACAAGGAGCCATGCTTTATCTCATGCTCTTTTGAGAATTGGCGGAAAGGGAGACATAAACCTGCCTACAGGTTTTTCCAAAATGCTTTTTTTTTGCGTATCATTCACTCAGAGGTCTCCAGCAGAGGGAAGGGTCATTTCTAAAATGCAGCCTCTCACAAGCCCAGTTCGGTTTTAGCTCTTTTAACAGGATGTACCAGGTAACAAAAGGCTGTTTTTTTTCCACTTGTGTGCTCACTCTGGAACCTAAAACAGTTCTTAGGTCTCTCTGGGGTCCTCCACAGCACCTGGAGTTGGAAGATCCCACCCTCACGTTTTGGATTCCCAAGTGATCAGGTGGGAGGCATCTAAATCTTAACGCTCCCCTGAGTGTCTGTTTCTGTTTCGGAAGAGCTGCTTTCTGAGTCTATATCTGGATTCTCCTGCTGGTGCTTCTCCTGAACCTTCAGGCGAATTCCTTGCAAACGTACTAAAAGTGACTGGTAGTCAAAGTGTCCTCGCTTCTCTCCAAAGGGATCCTGGAAGTGGGGAAAAAAGTGCAGATTTCAGTTGTCATTGGAAGATCAGTAGATTGAATGGAATTTAAGCATCCATCAAGTTAATTATTCCAGCAATAAAATAACACTTCCCTATTCACTATAAATTACATTAACAAATGAAGAGAGCTTGAAAAAGTTGGAAAGAGATATGTAAATCCTATGTGAAATGCTAATTGGTGGGTTCAGAATTTCTGAATTAGGCTGTAATTTAGGTGCCAGTTCTGATTCCCCAGCTGCTTTGGCATTCTTGATGACATCCTTGCTCCTGCAGTAGAATGCTATCTCTGACATCCTCTTTTATTCAAGCAGTGTTTTCTTCTGCATGGATAATTACAATTTGTTCTGGACAAAATTGAGGGCTGGTTTTGGCCTTGCTGCCCTGCATCAATCATCTTCAATCATTTTTTTGCCTTTACCACAAAAGGAAAGTTTTAAAACTCAAATCCCTGCAGATTGGGCTCTTTCTAAACTGAGTTGCTTCAAAGAAGGAGAGAGGTAAGGAAGAGGTCTGACAGCAGAACTTTTGGAAGAGAAAAAAGCTAATATAACTATGATTTATTTGAACTAACTTGCATTGAACCACACAATAACCGCAATGACTTAGTTCAAACAACGTATTGAGCTACCAATTAGCCAAAACAAGGTAGCTTAATATGATGTGTATTCCCAGCCAGTCTGCCCACACCTGATTGAATCCTCAATGGCTTTAATCCTGTAAATCCAAATGTAGCTCTTTTACAATGGAAATTTTGAGTAAAAATCTAGCATGCATTTTAAGATGCTGCTATGGTCTAGAAACAGAATTCACCAAAAATGTCTTGCACAATAAATTTCAGTGGAGCATGCATAAGAGAACAGTAAGCTGAACAACAGCCAATGGCTAAAACTACTAAAGATCTTGTCAGTATCAAAAATATTTACAAATATCAGTATCAAAACAATAGTCTACATTTAGGATGTTGCATTGAGAAAATATGATCAGTACAAAAATAACGTAAAGCTTGTGATAGCTGTTTTGTGAAGAAAATGGCATCCCTAAACAAATTTCTTATTAACACCAGAAAATGCAATAGCAATAGCATATCGCCCCCCCACAGTCTGGGTCCTCATTTCACCCACCTCGGAAGGATGGAAGGCTGAGTCAACTCTTGAGCCAGTGAGATTAGGACCGCTGAACTGCAGATAACAGTCAGCTGAAGTGGCCTGCACTACTGCACCCTAACCACTGTGGCACCTTTTATATTGGGGTCAAGCAACCTTTTTGGTGAGCATAGATTCATATTTTATATACAGTGGAAAGAGCAAAAGCAATGGTCCAAAATAGGCACAGTCATGTCACATATATGTGGCCACGATCCTTAGGGTTTTTTCCTGATCTTTTTGTAGGGAGCAGAGTTGTTACTTTTTTGGAAAAAAGAGGTAAAGCAATTTTCAGGCAAATGCTACACCTCTGAGTTTATTCTTCAAAACTGCTGGAAAGGAACCACTAATTTTCAACAATCATACCACTATCATTTAGCGGCTCAGCCCTAGGACCCACAAGAAGGGATTTGGTCTCCCACATAAAATTCTCTTGTAATTTCTGTTTGTAGAACAGGTAACTTTTGTAAATTCTGCCTACTATCTTAACATTCCATGTGTTTAGGGAAGCATTCAAACTAAAGCAGCACAATCCAGAAATATGATAATCAAGCAAGTTTGCTGATTGAGAGAGAGACCAGAAGTACCTCAGCGAGACAGACAGAAAAACCATGGGCTCTGAAGAGCCTCACGTAAATTCTGGCTGACAAACCGATGCTGAGGCTCTTTGGACCAGAACTTTCCTGAAGGAAAAGTGAAGGAGGAGCTGCGTCTCATTAGACCCAGAGGAACATAACAGGTTCCTTGTAGGTCAGAGATTAGCTCTCTGAATCAGGGTCAGGGTCGGCGGCATTGTAAAATGGCTGCTACAAAGCTGAAGCTTCTGGACTAAGCATTTCAGCAGGAGTGGTGTTTGGAAGGAGTGATGAGACCTGGAGAGAAGATTTAAATAACCAAATGACACAAATCAGAATTTGGAAAAGGCAAAGAATCTTGTGAGTAGAAAATAACATTAACAGACAGATTGGGACTTTGGCAGAACGGAAAAAAAGGAAAATAATTGTGGTTTAAATCATTAAGCCCAAAGATAACTGCTTGCTTTAAACAACTTGGAGACAGAAATAAGAATTGACTAACCCATTGAAGTACAAACTTTGAATATGGATCTGAAAAGATTGTGTCTTTAAAAGAGATTGACAATTGGGAAATTCGCGGGAGAAGGAGGTGGGAACAGAAGCTAAAAATACCAACACCAAGGAGACTTGCTTTGTTCGAGCTTGTTCTAATTTACATATTCTAAACAAGCCTAATCAATGAGAGGTGGAAGATAAGAAGAAAAATCAAGAAAAAGCATTATTTTTTTCGTTCATAATTTTGTCTTTCCTTGATTTAAAAATATCAAGTTGTATTGCTGAAAATCATCGAGTTGAAAAAATACGGAGCATTTACCGGAAGGAAGAACAAAGAAAGTGAAGCGTTTAAGGAGGGTTTGAATTTTGGCTGCAGAGGAAAAGAAGAATGTCCCCCCTTCTCTTTCTCTCCACTTCAGCTGAACTGGAATATTGGAGCTGGATCAGAATTGGGAAATAAGAAGAAACTGTGGAACTTAATTTTTGAACTGGACATTATGAAAAGTTGGGAATTTGAAGAAATATATGTCATTATTAAAAATATGCATGAGTCATTAAAATTAAAATTAAATAGAACTTTCAAGTTAGAAATTAAGACGAAACAAGAAGCAAAGGACAAAGAATGAAAAGAAAGACTAGGGGAGACATGATAGCAGTGTTCCAATATCTCAGGGTTTGCCACAAAGAAGAGGAAGTCAAACTATTTTCCAAGGCACCTGAGGGTACAACAAGAAGCAATGGGTGGAAAGTAATCAAGGAGAGAAGCAACTTAGAACTAAGGAGAAATTGCCTGACAGTTAGAACAATTAATCAGTACAACAGCTTGTCTCCAGAAGTTGTGAATGCCCCAACACTGGAAGTCTTTAAGAAGATGCTGGATAGCCATTTGTCTGGAATGATATAGGGTTTCCTCCCTAGGCAGGGGGTTGGACTAGAAGACCTCCAAGATCCCTTCCAACTCTGCTATTGTATTGTATTGTAAGAAGGGGAAGGTAGTGAAATTACAGAAGCAATAAAAAATAAAAAGCAGACAAAAGATTTCACTGAGTTTGACAGTGGCGCAGGGAAAATTGAAGCGGGGGGGGGGGGGATATGTCTCAACAAAGAAAAGGGAAGGAATTACAGAAGAAAGGAAAGGAAATGGCCAGACAGGAATAGAGAAGAAAGAAAGGACTGATAAGAGAAAAGAGGAAGAGAAGACAGGGAGCTAGAGGGTACATCGAAAGATGCTGCAGAGGGTGATGGAAAAGTTTGAGAAGGAAGAATATATACCCAGTAGAAAGAAAAAGCAGCTTAGAGTTTGGGACAAAAGGCTCACTATGAAGAAATGGAAAGGATAAGGGGAAAAAAAGAAGATTGGCAAGAGAGAGGAAGAAGGGAAGCACATATATTAATATATACAGAAGCACATATATTAATATGAATGACTAGCTAATTGGATATTTAGAAATTACTATATGGAGAATATAAAGTAGAGTTATGTGATTTACTCTTTTACATGATAGTTAAACTGAGTTGCTAATTGATTATGATAATGAAAAGATAATCAAATATAAGCTAAAATATATGAAATATAGTTACATATAGAACTTTTAAGAAGAGAATATAGGTAAGGTGCATATTGCTTGTTATTTTATATAGTAGATCAATGGAATTGTAATAAGCTTTGAACAGCAAGGATTGTAATTAAAAATAATTAAATATAAGCTAAGTAAAGATATGGAAAAATGGAGGAGGAACTTGAAATATACTTATAATGGAAAATTATTGAGATTATAAAGAGAGAACTAAAAATTTGGGATATGTAATGATGTATAACTATACAATATTATGATGGAAATAGCTAGAAATTATAACCAGGTCCACACTTTGGCCAAAAAATAGGTTGGGGGTGGGTTTAAAAATATAATTGCTATACATTATACTTTTTTTTTTTAAAAAGGAGGATATATGTTAAAATTATTAATATGAAATATGTTTATTAAAATGAAATTACTAACACCATCAATATTAAATGGAGCTGGCTCAGATGCTGAAATACACCATGCAAATGAGATGAAGAGTGTGGAAGAGAGGAAAGAGGCAAGGGGAAGAAGAGAGAATTAGGAGAGGGGGGGAGGAGGAGAGAAAGAAGGAGTGCAAAGAGGAGAGAGGAGAAGGAGAGAGGAAGGGGTGAAGAGAAAGATGACAGGGGGAAGAAAGGAGATAGGGAGGAGGAGAGGGAGAAGAAAGTGATGGATAGGTTATAAATATGATGTATGGAGAGCAGAAGAGCCAATGATAGTTTTTGGGGTCTGATGGTAAGACGAACTGACATAATATTGAATAATACAAAATAGTGTTGGTTATGTAATGGTATACATGTGATTATTTGTATGAAAATGAAAAAATAAAAAACTTTTAAAAAAAAGTTTGCTGATTGCAAATCTCAGCTTTTATATCCTAAATTTGTGGCAGATGTTAAAAGTTTTGATAAAGCAAACACTTATTTAGTCCCTTTTACTTTTCCACCTGCAGGCAGTACACAAACACAATTGCACTGCAGATTTTGTAAAGTAATTACAAATTTGTGAAGTTATGATAATTGTTTTGAGCTATGGTGGTGCAGTGGTTAGAGTGCAGTACTGCAGGCTGCTTCTGCTGACTGCCTTCTTCTGCTGCTTCTTATGCCATATCCGTCGTTGGATGTTGGCGATCATGTTGGCGATCCTATTTTTATCAACAACCACATGAAAAATTGCTGTTGAGTTTTGTTCAAACCAGATCCTTAGATTTTGAAGCCATGATGTTCTTCTGCCTGGATCTCGTTTGCCTTCAATCTTTCCTTGGAGGATTAAGTGAAGTATGCTGTATTTTTCTGGGTGTCGCATCACATGGCCAATATATTCTAACTTTCACTTTTTATGATTTTAATGATTTTCCTTGGCTTTTCCACATGGTTTATCACCTCCTGATTTCTGATTTTGTCAACCCAGTCGCTTGTAAATCCACATTGCCCATTGACTGCAATTTGGCAGTTCAAATCTCACCACGCTCAAGGTTGACTCAGCCTTCCACCCTTCCGAGATGGGTAAAAGGAGATCACAGATTGTTGGGGGAAATAAGCTGACTCTGTAAACCACTTTAGAGAGGGCTGTAAAGCACTGTGAAGCTGTATACAAGTCTAAGCCTTCACAGTATTGGGATGACATTTGAGAGAAATATATTGTGTTCTTGGAGGCTGCTCTTGCTTCTCATACACTGTGCTAATCTAGACCAGCAAAGGCATTTTTATTCAGACAATGAGAGTTATGAAGTTACATTTGGTAAATATTTTTATTTGTTACTTATGCATGGGAGGAAACTAAGTTATAGAGATTTATTTTCTGTTAATGCAGGTGGCCACAATTGAGCCCCTCGCTAACTAAGACAGTTAAATAAAATTTGCCCAATTTGCAACTTTTCTTGCAACAGTTGTTAAATGAATTGTTGCAAAGTTGTTAAGTTAGTAACATGTTTGTTAAATCAATATGGCTTCCCCACTGACATTGCTGGTGAGAAAATCATAAAAGGTTATCACATAATCCTGGGATACTGCAACTCTCATAAACATATGCCAGTTGCCAAGCATCTGAGTTTTGGTTACTGCTGCAATAGTCATAAGTCACTTTTTTCCATCACTGTTGTCAACGCTGAACTGAACCTGACACTGTTGTAATTTTAAATGGCCACTAAATGACTTGTTATAAGTCAAAGACTACCTGCATTTTATTTTTATCTTTTAATACATTTGGTGGGTAAAATGGTAGGATTTATTTTTCATGAGTATATGAAAAAAAAAATGAAGATTCCCCTTGTCCAACAAGCCCAGATTGATTCAAATTGCCTCCCATTATTCATAATCATTTCCTGCTTCCTTATAATATATTAACACCCGCTGCTCTAAAATCTTTGAATAATATGAGGATTCCAATTCAGATTTTCATATTCCTATTCAGAAAAAGGTCCTGCTGAATGACAAAGTTATTTTCTCAGATCAGAAGATGAGAAGTCAATCCCTGATTATTGTTAATGTTTTTACAAATCTTCCTTGCCAGTCAATAGGTACACATCATCTCATCCTTACCTGTATGGACTGTCCTTGGAGGTGAAGCCTCTCTTTGCATACCCCCTCATAAAAATCATAATATTCCATGAAGGATTTCTCCATAACTCCACTAGTAGAAAAGAAACAATAAAGTATGAGACCCACCAGCAATAAAGCCGTTTTATTCCCATCAAAGAGTTAATGCCCAGTTTTAAAACTCTTTTTTTTAAACCCAGACAGAAAACAACAGCTTATTCAAAAAGGGTGTTCCCATTATGCATAATATTCCTAAATCTTGAGGTGCAAGAGCAGACTAGCTTTTCATTTATGTTTATTACATGTGGCTAAATATCTATATGTACCACACTATTTTCTTCTTGAGTAAAAACAATAAGATCATTTCTTTTAAAAAAACATCAACTCAGTATTTAAAGCTATGTTTGTATAAATAAAAAGGCAAAATTCTGAGAACCTCATTTTATCATCCAAAGCAAGTGTGCAACTACATGCTAGTCAGAGGAGCACTTTGCGTTTTCCCATTAATTGAATTAGTTGCATCAATTAACTCACTTTCAGGTGAGTTTCAGAAAACTTGCACCAACATTTCTGAAACCAGTGAGCTCCAGATAGATTGCAACACTCAGATTGAGCATGACTATTGTAAATACATCTGGAGAACACTAGCTGGAAAACACTGATATATTGGCAATGCTTTCATCAAAGAAAGGATCACAAATGTATTTCATATATAAATTCCTTAATATATAAATAATTCAAACATTTTATAAATTGTTCTAAATTTTTTGGGATGGAAACACAATGAAGATGATAAAGTGCAGGCATTAAGAAACCAAAATTGAATTTGATGATGTTAGTACATTTCTATTAAATGATTGGGGTGTGGAAGAGGGAGTGAACAACTTTAATAAAGGCCTAAGATTGTGAAGAAGAAATCTGAACATGGACCTTCTGAACTTTTAAACTCATGAAAAAGGGGGGAAACACCAGTCAGATGTTATGTGATGGGATTTCTTTGGTCCCTGCCAAATTATTTTGCCTACATCTAATGCTTTTTCCTATCTTGACCAAAAAAAGAAAAGAACTACCATATCTAAACACTGCAATCTCATTATTTACCTAAACCAAGTTTCCTCAATCTGATATACACTAAATATATTGAACTACAACAGCCATCACCCTTAGCCAACATTCAACATAAGTGGAAGGTACAAACCTTGAGAAGCCATATTATAAAACTGCAAAGTTTTTCTAGAGTAGCATGCAGAATCTGCCAGGATATTAACTATGTGGCTATAAAAGCAGTGGAGACTGAATACTCAAATGGTGAAGATTATATTGCCAATTTTCCCAGAAATGGGCAAAGCCTCATTCACAAATATATTTTCTGATGTTTTCAATGGAGTATAGAAAGTGAACCTGCTAGTTAAATCATGATGTCTCTCCAAACATACCGTAAAGGTTCTGGACAAGGGCATTTCCCTTCCAGCATGTCACATACAGCGATGCGGATAGTTTCATGTCGAATGCACTCATTGTAATTTTTACTGTCTCCTGGATGCCTTTCCTACAAAACATCAACAACTGAGAATCTCTCCACTTATGACATACAAACAGAATAAGAATTATTACAATATACCCCACCACCAATATAGAAACGTACTCTTTTCACCATTGAATTTTATTTTATTAGATAGTGCCCAATGTTCAAGTTTGTCAAGATCCTTCTGTACCTTAAGCCTGTCTCTGGAGTGTTGGCTATTCCTGCCAGCTTGGTGTCATCTGCAAATTTGATGAGTTCCCCATTTATTCCTTTCTTCGTTGTAAGCCTTAACTTTCCTCACTTCATCTTTGTAGGCTCGGGCTATTTGCTGATATTCTGCCTTAGTTATGTCTCCCCCTTTCCACTTTTTATACTTATCTTTTTTGTCTTTCAATTTGTCAGAGAGTTCTTTATGCAGCCATGCTGGTTTCTTTTGGGAGCTGTTATTTTTCTTCTTCATTGGTATTGTGCTAGACCTATGGCAATGTCATTCCCCCCCCCAACCTTTAATATTGACCCAAATGCATTCAAGATAGTTCTCATCATTGTTGTGCTCTATTTCTGTAGCGATGTAGTTATTTCTTATATATAGTGCAACTCCACCTCCTCTTTTATTTGGTCTATTTCTTTTAAATAATTTAAATACTTCTAGCTGTATGTTCCATTTGTGGGTTTCATCCCACCAAGTTTCCATAATGGCAACAATATCGTATCTGACCTCATTTACCTGAATTTCTAATTCACCCTGTTTATTCCTCATACTCTGTGCATTGGTGTATAGACATTTGAATCCATTTTGATTGATCTTGTATTTACTGTCTACATAACCTGTGTAATGCCTGACTGCCCCTATTTTCTTGTCACTTGTATGATTCGTGCATATGGTATTGCACTATTAAATGCTTGGTTTTGCTTGATAGCAAGAGTGATAATCTTACCTGCACAAACATCTATGTTACATGCACTGATAACCCTAGGAGTTTTAGATTGCTGGGGACAGAAATGTTCTGTATCAATTAATTCTCTGTCCCCGCTGTTCAGTTTAAATGTTTATCCAGAAAATCTGTGAATTTAATACCAAGTAACTTGGTTCCTTTCTTGGATGGGTGCAAACCATCTCTTTTGTACAGAGATGGTTTGCACCTAACCAAGAAAGGGACTGTGTTACTTGGCATTAAATTCACAGATTTTCTGGATAAACACTTAATTTAATATATATATATATATTAATATATTTACAATCATTATAAAGTAGTATATAATCTTTTATTTGTTATTAGTCACTAAATCGTGTCTGACTCTTTGCAGCCCCATGGCCATAGCACGCCAGGCCTACCTGCCCTCCACTGTCTCCCAGAGTTTGCCCAAATTCACGTTTATTGCATTGATGACCCTACTTAACTATCTCATCCTCTGCTGTCCCCTTTTCCTTTTGCCTTCAGCCTTTACCGACATCAGGGTCTTTTCCAATGAGTCTTCTTTTCTCATTAGGTGGCCGAAGGATTTGAGAAGTTTAATACTATTATTTCAGGTAGTTCCCAAGTTATGAATGTAATGGAACCTGCCCATTCTATTCGTAACCCGAGGATTCGTAGGAGTGAATTGCGTAACTTGAATGCGATCACTCCCCCCTTTCGCCCATCCATTCTCTAACCGAATGTATGGCTCGTTAAGTGCACATTAGAAATTTCAGGGTGGGGTACTGATGGAACAGGTCACCTGCTTCAGACCACCCAAGCACTCGAACCCACTGAGATAACTCATTCTCCCTCCCCTGGGGTTCCCACAATTGCTCCCCACTCCCACCTCCTTCACTTACCTTGTGAAGATCTGTTTCCTCTCCAGCCCATTTCTTTGCCTGTGAGCGGCAAGAGCAGAGGGAGAGCAGGACAAGCACCCTGATTGGCTTTTCTGATTCACCAAGGCCGCCTGCCACTTCTGGAGCAACCGGCAGTCCCAGTGACTCTCCTCCAAAGCTTTAAAGCCTCCCACTGACATACAAAAACTTTTCGTGCACCGAAATCTTGAGAGATTTCAGGCACCTATTCTCTGAAAAAGTGCATGTTTGCCTGAAGTTGCAAGAGATCATGGACCCCAGAAGCTTTTAGTCTCTGGCCAAAAAGTGTTTATGCCCCAGTAGGGCTTGAGGAGGCCTTTGCCGAAGACAAGGGAGCCCCCCGGAGGGAGCATACATCGCTCCAGTTTTATTTTCTCCAGGAAAACCCTTTCCTCAAGGCCTCTGCCTAACAGAACGGAGCTCCAGAGCAACATGTGCTCCCTCCAGGAGTTTCGTTCTCTTCAGCAGAGGGCTTGAGGAAAGGCCTTCCCTGGCAAAAACAGAGCACAGGAGTGATATACATGTCCCTCCCAGCCTCTGTTCTCAGCAACAAAGGCTTTTTGCAAAGATGGCAAAAGACTTTGTGTTTCAGGCCTTCCTTCCATTTGCAAAGCCTTTTGCTGCAGATTTCATCCAAAACCTCTATTTGCAGAGAACAGAGGCCTAAAGTACTGTGAGAGCACAAGAGATCAGTAGCATGAGATCTCGTACCACTGATCTTGCGTGATCTTGCAGACTTTAAGCCTCTATGCTCTGCATACTTACTGAAGGCCTGAAGCACCGAAACAGGCCAAGAAAGGGAAGGCTCTCTAGATCTTCATGGGTAGAATCCAGTGCCTGTGAAAACCTGGAACTGGGGATGGGGTGTGGGGGGGAAATAGCAGGGTGAATGTTGCATAGTCTGTCTGGTCATTTGTACGGGTAAACAACCGCTGTGGTGCTGCAACATAGTTTCAAGACTTGTTCATAAATACTAGTGGGAGTTTAATGCATTACTGTGAATGTTCACTAAGGGAACAGTCTTAATTTGGGGCTTACCTCTATATGAAAGATTTTGAAGCTGAAAAAAAGGTCACTCATTGCTAACTCCAATCTAAATGAGGGAATCGAGAAACCATGCTCCGCATGCTTTCTCTAGTCTAGCCTCTTTAAATTCACATGTTACACCAATCTTTTCAAGTATCAAATGAAAAAATGTCCCATTAGCCATATAATCCCAAATCCGGGTTCCTTACCTGTTCAAAGCCAGGTTCATTGTGATAGGGATTCTCAGTCATTAAAGACTGTATAGATATAAGCACCGAAGAAATGCTCTGTGCAGGACTCCAAGCTGGACCAGTCCATGTGCTGTGAGATAGCAAAAAAAAAAAAAAAAAAAAAGCTTATTTTCACAGATGCAAACACAAAATAATTTCTTAAGGACGCATAGGTATTTTGATGTAGCTTATCACATTTATGAACCCAGCTAAATAAAAAAGACATGTTGTAGGGGAAAATAGCTCCCAGGATTCAGAAGCAAAAAAATACTTCAAAGCTTTCAGGGGCACATAGGTAATATCTGTCCACAAGTCTTTAAGCAGTTGTGCTTAAACTTTTATTGGGATCATGTGGCCACTGCAAAAGATACCTAATATATGTAAGGAAAAGATGTCACTTCACTATAAAGAGCTCTAGATGAATGCCATGTGAATGCTACAAAAGGCTCAAGTCCCCTTTTCTGCTTGAATTGGAAGCACTGTATCTAGGTCCACAAAATGGTAAGTCAAACTGAAGATTGTCAACACTTTGAAACAAAGAAGAAAATATTACATTCCTGAAATGTCTAGTAGTATGAATAAGAAAAACACCAATAAAGATCAATATATGTTGTCCAGCAATAATGCCTAGCCTTACATCTGTTGACAACTTACTTATAGGCAATAATCAACGTAGTAACATGAGGTACTGTATTTTTCAGAGTATAAGACACACCGGAATATAAGACGCACCAAGGTTTTGAAGAGGCAAATTAAAAAAAAAGTTTTTTGCACTCTGCAAACTTCCCCAAAATGGCCCGTTTTTCGCGAAAATGGGCCCATTTTTTTAAGGGCATGAATAGCCCTTTGGAGGTTTGCAGAATGTTCATGGGGGAGGAGAACCAAAAACGAGAAAAAAATGAGCCCTTTTTTTGTCAAAAAAGGGCATTAGGAAGCTTATAGAGCCCTCCTGGGGGCTGGAGGGGGCAAAATAGAGCAAAAAACAGCCCATATTTTGCTCATTTCTGCCCTCCCCAGCCCCCCAGGAGCTCCCTGAAAGCCCCCTACAAGTATGCACACCCTTTTGATGAAAGGGCAGGGTTTCAGGAGGCAAAACAATGCTGTATTCAGTGTATGAGACGCACCCAGATTTTCAGCCTCTTTTTTGAGGGAAAATTATACTCCGAAAAATATGGTAATACAGTCGTAATCAGAAAATACTTTCTGTAGTTTGCAAGTTTAATAACATTTATATGCCGCCCAATCCCGTAGGACTCTGGGCGGCTTACAGTACAGAAATAAATAAAAAAATAAAAAAATAGAGAGAAAGAAAAGATAGATAGGGAAGATTATTGGCTATAAGTAAGTTGTCCAAAGTCAGCAACAGGTAAGATTAGACCTTAATGTGTTTTGTGACTCTTCTTCTCTGACTTTTCTGAGCTGTTTGGAAAGGATACATTATCACAGATCTGAACTAATTGCTAAAGTCTTCTGTAATTAGGCTTAAGGCCATATTCATAGTGTCTTAGGGCTGGAAGGACCTGAGATGGTCCTAAGGGACCTACTCAAGGCAGGACTCTTATACCAGCCCAGTCAAATGGTTAACCAGTCTATTCTTGAAAACCTCCAGTCATGGAGCACTAACACCACCAGGGGGCAAGCTATTCCACTGATTAATTGCTCTCTGTGTCAGAAAACTTCTCCTTCTAGGTTGGCACTCTCTTTAAGAGTTCTACCCATGATTTATTGTTTTGTCTCTGGTGCCCTAGAGAATAAACCAACCCCCTTTTCTTGAAGTTGAGGGAGCTATTATACCTCGCTCTCTCAAACTTTTGTCATATGATTTAGCTTCCAGGTGCTTTATTGTTGTTGCTCTTCTGTGCAAACTTTCCAGGGTCTCAACATCTTTTTTGTAATGTAAGGACAAGTACTAGATGCACATTCCAAGTGTGGTCTGCAGGATCCAATCTGGGTCGGTCCAAAACCAGAGATTTAGTCTTCTGAGCTTTTGCATTTATGCTGTAGCCCATCCACAGGGAACATGAACACATTCCGACAGAGACAAGTTCCCTGTGGATGGGCTCCAGCAGGGGCCTGGAAGTTTGGAATACTCAGATCAGATCCTGCAACATTATCCTGGGACATATATATTTGCCTTCATTCACAAGTGTGGTCTTACAAGCACAGTGAAAAGTGGTGTTATCACTTTTCATTGTCTTGGTGCTGTTGATGCAGCCTAGGACTCCACTGGCTTTTCAGCAGCTGAAACACATTGCTGACTCCTACTTAAATATTGATCTAATAGGACACCTCCTTCCCTCCCTCTCAAGCCAGGCCCTTACTTTTCTCATCACAGAATTGCATCTTCTTGGAATAGATCCAATGTTCAAGTCAGTAAAGGTCCGATCAAATCAGTAAATATTTGAGCTTATCTTTCAAAATATTGGCTATTGCCCCCAGCTTGGTGTTGCCTTAAATAGGTTCCTCCCCCATCCCCTCATCTAGGTCATTTATGAAGATGTTTAAGAGTCCTGGACCCTGAAACTTGAAGCATCTCACTGCATGCTTTCCTCCATGTAAATGTGGTTCCATGAAGATTACTGTTATTTTTCGGAGTATAAGATGCACCAAGGTTTTGAAGAGACAATTTTTTTAAAAAAGTTTTTTTGTGAAAACTGGTCTGTTTTTTCCCCACAAAAAGGCATGAATAGCCTTTAAGGTGCTCCTGGGAGGGGGGGCAAAAACGAGCAAAAAATGGGCCCATTTTTTGTAAAGAAAAAAAGGGCATGGATAGCCTTTAGGAGGCTTGCGGAGTGCTCCTGGGGGGATGGGGGCCCAAAAATGAGCAACGAATGGTCCGTTTTTTTGTAAAGAAAAAAAGGGAGGGCATGGATAGCTTTTAGGAAGCTTATAGAGTGCTCCTGGGGGCTGGGGGGGGGGGCAAAATTGAGCAAACAATGGGCTGTTTTTTGCTCATTTCTGCCTTCCCCAGCCACTAGGAGCTCTCTGAAAGCCTCCTACAGGCTCTGCACAGCCATTAAGGTAAAGGGGGTGAGGTTTCTGGAGGCAAAAACTGCTGTATTCTGTGTATAAGATGCACCCAGATTTTCAACTTCTTTTTTGAGGGAAAAATATGGGTCTTGTACTCCAAAAAATACGGTGCCTACTGAGTGTGGTTAACCAACCAATTGCAAATCCAACTGATGGTGATACTGTCTATCCCCTATTTGTGGTCTAGTTTGTTAAATGCTTTCCTGAAGTCCAAGTGTGCTATGCACATTGCTGATTCACTAATTTAGTTACTTTATTTAAAAAAAGGCATGCTGGTTTTGACTAATCACGTTGTTTGTTTCTAGGTGTTTATAAATGCTCTGCCTGATTATCTTTTGCAGGATTTTTCCAGGTATTGATGTCAAGCTGATTGGCCTATAATTTCCTGGATCCAAAAAAATTGGAAATGTATCTGCCATTTTCTGATATTTCCCCTATTCTACATAAACTTTGAAAGATTATACTGTATTCTTCAGCTCCAAAGTTACATCTACCAGCTCCTTCAAAATCCTAGGATGTGAACCTATCAAATCTAGGATTGCTGGTTATCAATTCACTGTAAAGATTAGCCTGGATATGCAATCTCACAAAAGGTAGCATAATATATGCTAATGTTCTGAGCAGACATAGAATTCAATATTTTAATAATTGTTAGGCTAGAATGGTTTTGTTTTTATATACAATAGTACAAAAGCTGGCTAGGGCATTATAGAAAATACCCAATGGTCAGCATATAAGTAAACAAGGATTACTTATTTAGGGTTATGAGTCATTATACCATCTAAAAGCATAGTCTATTAGAGACCCTATCTTCCCTTTAATTATCCTTGGCAGAATTTCCACTATCTAAAGTTATGATCAAGTCTCTGATAAGATGTGCCACCAAGCCATTGTTATTATTTATCTCATTTGTCTCTTAAGTATAAAAAAGGTACTGAAAGTCCCTAAACAGGGTGGGATACAAAGAGCCCCTAGTTCTTGCTGGGAATTATTTTTGGCAATAACCTGCTCTCCAAAACCATGAGATGAAGAGTAACAGTATATAGGATTTCTTAAAGGGGAACATGGGGGATCAGGTAACAGTCCCAGACAGGCCGCAGTGTTAAAGGTAGCCAATGCAACCGTACTTCTAGGATAGCAGTACACAATCCCATGTGGGGTAGGTGTGCTCTGTATCTTAATCCACCTGGATACTACAGTAATTGAAACCTTGAAGCCCAATTGGAATGCTGAACTCTGTTTTTTCACCTGAATTTGACCAAAATTCAAATAAAGACTAAATTCACCATGAATTGGCTATGGCACAGAATATCTGTGTTTTGTAGGGTGTGTAGAGCTCCTTCTTGACAGAGACATCAATTTTTGACATTCCTTTGGCTCAATTTACAGGTCTTAGGAATGCTGCTTTCCACACTAGATGTTTTATGGCACAAGGACTGATCTGGGCTCCAACTGGATTTGGACTCCTAAGATATGTGAAGTTTTGCACAAAACAAAACAGTTAACAAAATAAAAAGTTTAGAAATGTACCTATGCTTGTGAGTTAATAAACATTCTATAGAAAGTGATTACAAGTAGTCCTCATTTAGCAGCTGGTCAAAGTTACAATGGTGATGAATGAGGAGACTTATGACCAGATGTGGCTGTCATGCAATCATGATTCTGGAGGTTGGCAACCAGCTAACAATTATGATATCATAGTATCCTACAGTGACATGATTGCCATCTGTAACCTTTACTGTCAGCTTTTCACAAGTAAAGGCAATGAAAGCCAGCAGGAGGTCATAAATGGGGATCATGTGACATCATGCTTAACGATCATGTGGGATTTGCCTGAAATGGCAAATGGAATGGCTCTTGGGAGTGTGGTCATGTGATATCATACTTTACGACCATGTCGCTTAGCAAGGGAGTTTCCAGTCCTAATTACAGTGGTTAACTGAGTACTGCCAGTAGTTAGCTTTGGAACATTCAAAAAACTTCTCCAGATATACCTTGTTTCTTTGAAATGGATACAGACATGGTATTGATAGAAGGAGTCACAAACTTAATAGTTATAACAGCAATCACTTTTGATTCCTTTATCTCTACTTAACTAGTTTATCTTTTTTTTCTTTAAAAAAGAAAAGAAATATCATTGAAGCATCCAATGGATCCACACAAAGTCAAGTAACTGAAACAAACAGATGGAATACAGGAGTATGGAGCAAGTTTTTGAAGTAATTTCTCTATGGTTTCAAACAGTACACATGTATTTTTTTGTATGTGTGCACTTTCTTCCTTTCTTTCTATACATCTATACCAAACTTCTACATACATTCCAACAAACATACAGAAGTTTTACAGTATTTTTTTTTCTGGATTGAAAAAAACACCAGATGCCTAGAAAGTTAAAAGGAGCACCACTCGTGCCGAGTACTACTGTGTTTGGCATAAGACTGGGGGGTGCACAAACTGATCAAAAGTTGTAGAAAAAAAGTATGCAAATTTAATTGCCCCAAGTTTGCCTCTTTATTAAAAGATGAGAAATAACAGTTTGTGACCAGGAATGGCTTGCAGTTATGTGGTTGATTTGGCCCCACTGTGCTGTAATTCTCATGCTTTTCCTCTGCCTTATTCTTTTGAAAAACACACATTCGCATGTGGTCCTTGAGGAAAAATAACTGCATATAAGCCTTCCAAAGCACCACCCTGGGTTTCCCCTGGAAAAGAGCTTGAGCTGAATGGGTCCTTACCCTAGAATACTGAGGCAGACCTTCCCATTTCGGTAGAAGTTAGGGTTAAACCTCACTGTATTATTCCCAGTTGTCATCAGTTTGACCCGCGGCGGATGGATAGGATAATCTGGAGGACAGCGAAACAGGAACAAGAAGAAACCCCCTTCGTAAGGCGTGTCAAAGGGGCCTGTGATCAACGCATGAATCTGCAAGAGAAAAGCCCAGGCTTGCGCAAATACTTCTGATGGAAGCATCAGTGGCAGCACCTGCCCAGTGCCAGCAGCTGTTGACACAAGTCAGAGGAGGCAGAGAAGGTTCTCTGCAAGCAGTCAGAAGAAAAAAACTCAAATACTTCTTTAAATGGTACAAGTCTCAGATTTCATTACTACTTATTTAGTTGAAACGGTGAAAAACGGTATATGCAATGCATATTTTTTTGCAATGCACAGGAGAATTCCATAGCTGCTTCTCCAGCTTTTTCTATTTTCCTTAGAGGCAATCCTTGAGTTACAAACATTCGTTTACCAACTGTTCGAAGTTACAACAGCATTTTAAAAAGTGACTTACGACGCACGCCAGAAGTTATGGCGGTAGCAGCACCTTCATAGTCATGATTAAAATTGGGGTGCTTTGCAGCCCACATGTGCTGATGACTGCAAGAGCACTGCAACTTCCCCACTTGCCCAGCTCCCAGTCTATATAGTTTTGTCCCTCTGCCGTCAAGCACTTCGTCACCCCAGCTGACCTTCACCTTCTTCTTGCTCTCATTTTTGAGACATGGCTACCCTGGCTGCTGACCAGACTAGAGGTGACTTCATGCTGCAAAAAATAAGGCAATGGCCCTTTTCCTTTTTTTGTAGCTCAGCCCAGCCCAGCCCAGCCAGCAGTAGGAACAAGAGGATGGGTGTGGCAAAGTGTAGGGGGGCAGGGCTCTCAGAATTCGGGATGACAAGGGCAATTGAGAATGGGCTGCGGGTGGCTGCGGCTTTCCAAGGCATGGCAAGCAGCTCCAAAGCCATGCAGTCCTGGGGTTGATTGTCACCATGAAAAACAGGGTGCACGGAGGCCAAAAGGGCAGAAATGTGGGGGGGGGGGATAGGTGGGTATAGTGAGTAGAGACATTCCTTTCCTTACTCAGAAGTGGGAGGAACCAAGCCTGAAATGGATTTGAGTGGATCATTTGTTAACAATGGTAAAACTTGCTTAATGATGGCGAAAGGAATTACTAGGATTACAGTTGCCAAGTCACATGACATTTCACTTTATGATTGTATTGTTCAGTGACCAGAATTCCCAACTGCGGTCCTAAGTCCAGGACTACCTATAATTAAATTAAACCAATAATTTTGATCTTTAAAGCCTTAAGTGGATTGGGAACACGTGAAGGACTCCACTCTTCAATCTGTCTAACTTTTAAGATCAGTCAAGTGACTCTTGTAGGTTCCTAGTAGTTGGCGAACACAAGACATGCTTGTCAATTCTGCACCTACCTCACACCTGCAGAATTCCTACTAAAATTAGGCAAATTTTATTCCAACTTTATTTTTTAAGTGGAATTTTAAAACATTTTTACTTCACCTGTTTTATTTACTACATATCTTTTAATGTGGTCCCACTCTATCTTCACAAGTTATATAATTTTCTCTTTTCTCAAACACCCATGCAACTGTCCCAGGTGCTCTAAATTTTGCTTGGAAATAATGTCATCAAATAAGATGGTCATTGCAAAGCCTTGGTTTCTGGCTGCACTAGGGCCATTCTGAGGAACACTGCCTCACTGGTTGCCTACCCTTAACTCCACTGAGGCCTGATTTTAAAATGTGTAAAGGCCATTTCCATCCCTACTAGTTAACCCAACAAGACTTTACCACGAAACAGTAATGTTTTAGTTTTTAACAATCATGCTGGAAATCTTTCTGAATAAAAAATGGGGCAATATATTTTTAAAGAAAATAAACACTTACTCAAATTCCAAATTTGCTTCAGAAAATCCAAATGCTTAATAAAATATCACAAATTCATATGGGAATGTTTCAATGAGAATTTCAATTTCCAAGAGACCCTTAGGGGTATAATCTATTTCCCCAAAATAAGACCTATCCTAAAAATAAGCCTTAGCATGTTTTTACACATGCATCTAATATAAGCCCCACCCCCAAAATAAGTCCTATTTAAGTGCCTGTGCAGCCAGCTGGCCAGCCATTCCATCTTGTTGCTCATGGTGCCGCCGACAGAAGGTGAGGCAAAGGGGATGGAGCTGTCCCACGTGCCCCATACCGGTTTACTTCAGGCCCCCGCAACCATCCCATCTGCACCCCAACTCCCTTGTGGTTATGGCACCAGTGCATTGCTCGGCCTCCTGCTCTGTTGTGGCTGTGAGCAAGCAGAAGAAGTGGGCTGGCGGCCATGCGGCATCCTGTTGGATAGGGCTGCTGGAGCCGCTACTGCAAGGCAAGTGTCGGGGGGGTCAATGGCCTAGCTGTAGGGGCCCTGAGATAAGCCAGTGCGGGGCCCGTGGAGCAGTTCCAGTCCGTGTCTCATGGCGGCGGCACTAGCACACCACATGGCCTCCTCCCCCACCATGAGCAAGCAGAAGAAGTGAGCCTCCCATACATGGGAAAAATAAGACATTCCCCCAAAATAATCCCTGGTGCTTATTTCAGTACCCCCCCCAAAAATAAAACTGGGTATATCAACCTTGGATTGACATACTATTCAATTATAAGATCAATTATTATAACTGACTGGTGAATTGATCATTATTTTACTCTATATACACTAAAAATTATGTGAATGATAACTAAAAAAATAATACTGTCAGCAAATGTTAGATTGAGGCTTGCTGTCTGTCCTTAGTCTTACAGCATTTGTGGGGGAAACCCAGAGATGGAGCACTTTTTAAAAAGTAGTCATCTGTTATAACTGCAAGCATGTCAAAACAAGAATACTGTCACTAGTGCTCAGTGTCCAGTGCTTAAAACAATAGACTGTAACAACTTTTCCACTCTAATTCATAATCTTGTTAGGAAATATAGGGTCATTAAACATTGTTAGTCAAATTTTCCTCCTAGGGCATTTCTGAAGGGAAAAATGGGAGGGAGGCTAAGTACATCAAGGCAGGCTAAGAACTTTGGAGTAAAAGACAGAACACAATAGCAATAAACAAGTGGTACTTACTTACATTTACCACTACCTATTTTATGTATTTATTATTCTAAATTAATCCAATTCACAGGTTATGTTCATGGCAGTTCTAATGGCAGTGCTTAGAGTATTTGATGAAATTTGATCTGTCACATGGCTTAATCTGACAGAACAGGCAATAGCAATAGCACTTAGACTTATATACCACTTCACAGTGCTTTACAGCCCTCTCTAAGCATCTTACAGAGTCAGAGTATTGCCGCCAACAATCTGGTCCTCATTTTACCAACCTCAGAAGGATGTAAGGTTAGGTCAACTTTGTGCTAGTCAGGATTGAACTGCCAAACTACTAGCGATCAGCAGTCAGCAGAATTAGCCTGTGGTACTGCATTCTAACCATAGTGTGCTGCAGTGCAGTGCATAGCATAGCACAGCATAGCATAGCAGAACAGACTAGAACAGAACTGAATTCTTTACTAGCCAAGTGTGATTGGACACACAAGGATTGTCTCCAATGGATAAGCTGACAGTGTACATATAAACAGCAAATAGTAGGGCAAATATTATAAATTATAACTGTTAATCATAAATTGCGAACAACAATTGGTAAGAAGAATAAGAAACCAAAAGGAGAAGACAATAGGAAAGATGAGGAGAAAAGATAGGAAATGAGACAGTATTGTGGGTATTAAGTATTCAGCAGTGATGGCATGGGAGGGTGGGGGACTGTCTCTGTGTCTAGTTGCAATGCTCTATAGCAGTGTTTTTCAACCACTGTGCCGTGGCACACTAGTGTGCCGTGACATAGTGTAAGGTGTGCCGTGGGAGAATTACTTTATATATAGTCAATATAGGCACAGAGTTAATTTTTTTTAACATTTTCTAATGGTGGTGTGCCTCGTGATTTTTTTCATGAAAAAAGTGTGCCTTTGCACAAAAAAGGTTGAAAAACACTGCTCTATAGCAGCATCCTGAGGGGAGAAGTTGAAATAGATTATGTCCAGGATAGGAGGGCGGTCGTCTTTTTGGTTCATGCAGTATACAGATCCTCAAGGGAAGGTAGGCTGGTTGTGATTATTTTTTCTGAATCCTAACTATCAGTTGAACTCTGTACTTGTCCTGTTGACAGTTATTGAGGTACACATACTCAATAATTCATCTGTAGAACTGCACTGGCAGATCCTTGGACATATATGAATAACATACAACTTAAGTGACGTAGAATTTTTTTCCCTTTTCTGTAAGGAACTCAAATCAAGGGAAGTTTCTGTAGTGTTTAAAACATTCACGGTTTTTAAAAAAATGTTATCTCCATGCCTCAGCCTTTTTCTTTCATAAACATACTATATTTTGTGCCTGAAAAAAAATCAACGTTACAAGACTAAACATGTCTTCCTAAAGATCAATACCAACAGAAAAATTGGCCCAGTTCTATTTTTATATAGACACCTTTTAGCAATTTCATCTCCTCCTTACCACCAATTTTCTAATCCACTTCTTCTTTTTGACTGCAAATCTGAAAGCAGAATCTGTGCTTTATATTTTTCATAGCAATGCAGAGAACATAAAAATATTAGGAATGGCAATCTAAATATATATACTGCTTTTTTTAATATCACCCTCCCTTTGTTTTGTCTCATTTCAATTAACTTCTCAATATAAACACAATATGAGCATTACTGAAAGCTTCCTAAGGTGATATTGCAATCAATTAATCTCATTTTGCTATTTATAGCAGTTTTTCCAATAATTAGAGGCACCCATGCCAAATCATTATATTATGAAGTACTTCTTTAAAATTGTTAGAAAAACCTTTTAGTTGGACTACAGACCACTTGAATACCACTCACCTTGGTCATATCATGTGGGTCAGGTACGACAAACATTCCAGGAGGTGGTTCCTTATAAATTGACATGATATCCCTAGGAAAGAAATACAAATATATTTCAATTTAGATAATAATTTTCTTAAAGATTTGTTCTGGTCATACAGTAAACTGTTTCTGCTTATTTGTAATTCACATCTCTTCTTATATCACATAAGTCCAAAAAGAATGAGAGAAAAAGAGATCTCCTACAAAAGGGGAGGGAACATAACAAGAAAGGACTTATCACAGCCCACGCCTGTTCATAAGGAACTGTTGCCTCATCCCTCAATCTGTCAGCATACATTTATCAACAAAAGTGTCTATGTTGATAAGCTGTTTTGAAAGTGGCTGCTCATCAACTTACTTGTTACTTGTTTCTTCTCACTAAAGTATAAAATAAAGTGAAAGGTTGAGCATAGTAGCCTTGCAGTCACCAAATGTATAAAATATATATCAATAGTGCTTTACAACAATAGTTTTGCTTGAAAATAACAGCCAAAAATCCCTGGAGGCATTCAGTCATACTTCTGTGAAATACTTCTGCAAATTGATTTTCACTTTGATGCTCTATATCCCGACAATATAACTTTTGTTACTGTGGTTACATAAAACTGTTGTTAACTATTTCTGAAGTATTTATATGACTAATTATTGGAATAACCTCAAACTGCCCTTTATAGTTGGTCCTCACTTTTTGCCTAGTAAACTTTGCTTAGCAGCTGTTGGGAAATGAAGCATCTGCAAAAAACAATCAACCTCAGAGAGCACCAAGGACACCCCCATCCACCGCGCTACAGTTCTCGTTTTTTCAGAATCTCCATTGCAAGTGTCACCTAATTGTCCAGGAAAAAATTAACTTGTGGCCTTGTTGGTGCTAAGGAATATGTTAACTAGTACTTAGGCAAATAATGGAAGGGACTTCCCTTCTATTGCACTTTTGACATGATTTAATAAGATTAATTAAAAGAAGAGACTGTTTAGGCTCATAAAATCTTTCTTCACCTCCACCATTTAGTTACACCTGGATACATATATGTTGGGTATCTTTTGAACCAGTGGTTCCTAACATGGGGTCCATGCCCCACAGGGGGCAATTTGATTTTTAATGGGGGCAATTTAAACCTTGTTTAAACCAAGTTAATGGCCTTTTAGGCTTCCTTTGAGTTCACTTTTGGAGTAAAATAAGAATTATATATTGGGAAGGGCATCAGAATTTTAAAGATGCAGGTGGGGCATGGCCAAAAAAAGATTGAGAACCACTGTAATTAAAACAGATAAATGTTTTCTATTTGAGTAAGAACTCAACAGATAATATGTACAATAAGCATGTACAATAAATTACCAGTACACAAAAGGAGCAAACTGGAAGCATGAATGCAGATCTATTTCTTCTATCAATTCAACATATGTCCTTGGCCAATAACCTACACAACAAAATAATGCTGATTGCCTGCCTTTAAAAGCTGTTGATGCAAGACGAAATGCATACAGAAAAGACTACAAAACGATATGCAATCAAATAAAGATATAGCACTGCTTAGAATTCTCCTCCCTTGGACAGCTATAAATACACAGAACATATTCTTTGAGTATACTCATTAGTAGAAATTTAACTGAAGTTGTAAAGTGTTAAATACCAATTGCTTTCTGATGCAAAATAAGGAAGTCAGTTTTACAATGAAAGCAATTTTCGTTCAGTGCCATTAAGGTTCAAATGACATTGGACTTTTGTGTTCATGGAGTCTGGGAATTGCCGGGTGACTGGAAAGCATAAAGCTTTTGTAATCAGAAGCTTATTCTATTTGCATTTAATACGTTTAGAGACCTGTATTTTTACAAGAAAATGCAGGGAAGAAACAGGTGAAGCTGTCCCAAATGCCTCAATCTATCACCAGCAGGAATATAAAATAACATTTCAAACGGGACTGAACTGTGGAAGCATGAACCCGAAATACAAGGCGCAAAGCGGAAGGCTTGGGTGGGGAACGAAACTAAGCACTCTGCCCATGCTCAGAAACTCTGCCCTTTCCTAACAATTCACGTTTTGCCAGATGTTGGCTAAATTCTCGAAGGGAAAGATGGGATGACTAACATCCTTCTTTCGTTTCTTCCGGAGTTCCTTACCGTTTAATGCGGAGCAGGCAGGCAGCGCTCGGTCTCTCCCCGTCCCAATCCCCACTGGTCGTGGGGTCCCAGAAGGCCGAATGTGAAAGGAGCACTCCGGCAGCGGCGGCGGCGGCGGCGGCGGCAGGGGGAATCCCAGGCACCGGAGCTCCTGCAGAACCGACTCCCGCTCCCGCTCCTCCTCCCGAACCCAACCCCGCTACCGCCCAAAGCTCGGCTGGTAGGAAGACGCCCGTGCCTCCGCCACCGGCTCCGGCTCCAGGCCCTCCGCCTGCCGGGGCTGACAGTACCGCGGCCGAAGCTACCTCCTCAGCAGCCGGACTCTCCGCCATCATCGCCAACAGTCCCGGCTGCGCTTCCGGGACTTCCCACACCATCGACAGAGGTGGGCAGAGCGGATCACGATGCTCCGCCCACTATCGACAGCGGGGGCCTATCAACCATTGAGGTACAGAGTTCCAGAGCGCCCCCATGTCGTTAATTCCTTCAATCGCGGCTAATGGAACATTGATTGTATAGAAATTCTAGAGCATTGTTCTCATTTCCGGTCCCGAATAGTTAAGTTCTATCAAGCGTGGGTGAAAAAGTTCTCAGGAAGACCATTGGGAAGGGAAAGGCTCCCGATACACGCGGTTGGCGTTATTGCAAAAAAAAAAAAAAGCAAAAACAAGCTTCTGCTGTTTGCTTCCGGGATGTCTTTCTGACAGCTGTTGGTTTTCCTCGTGGCCATCTGTCCCAAGAATTAAGCAGATCTGACCCTGCTTAACTTTATTCAAAGAACTTCGAGTAGGAAAACTGGGATGATTTCCCCCCCACTCTGTGTTGGCACATCGACAAATCTTTAATGCCTCTAAAAGCAACATAATAAGTAGTTTTATCGCTTCCCAGGCAACGGTCGTTTTGATTTTATGATGCTTATTTTCGTAGAACTACCACCCGGAGTTTTCAATTGTATTTTTAAAAAAATGAGATGCCAGGTAGAGATTAAATGGGTAAAGCATTTCACTGCTGAATTATTCATTTGATTGGCAAAACAGCGTGAGATATGTATGTATGTGTATATATGTGTATATATGTGTATATATGTGTATATATGTATATATATATATATGTATGTATGTATGTATGTCTATCTATCTATCTATCTATCTATCTATCTATCTATCTATCTATCTATCTATCATCTCACGCCATTTAAAAAAGATTCTGAGGGGAAACCCAAAGATGCTTTTTCAGGAGACAACTGCATTTTTTTTTCTTTCAAGACGTTTCGCTTCTCATCCAAGAAAGCTATCTTCAGGGAATATAAATCCTTCCGTTCCACACTGTCCTGTCAGAGCTGAAGAAGCTTCTTGGATGAGAAGCGAAACGTCTTCAAACAAAAATCAGAAACTCCTAAAAGCACCTTTAGGACAACCATGACTGAGAATCTCTACAGACCATTATGAGGGGAAATAAAATTCCTTTTGCATGACTCTGAACATACAGCACGTGGCAAAGTGGAATCTCCCGCATGATCATCCTTATTACTTATTCGGCGTCAGCTTCAATTTCCAACTTGATCTGCACATGGAGGACTCTTACATCGGGAACCAAATTTCAAGGGGGAAAAAACAACCCTGCAGCTCTGCATTTTCCCCCCTTTTCTGCAGCCATGCTAGAATATCGCCCCGGAACCTCCTAAATAGCTACAAGATTATATCTTTTTTTCTTTGAACGGGGCACTAAAAACCTAAGAGAATATATTTTGAAGGAAACTCTTTGTCGATAGTTAATCCTACGAAACTCAAGGCAACGAATTCCCACCTGCCTTAAGTAATTCTTTCAAAAAATTCCTTTTACGGTCGTAGACACCACCCTTCCGCTTCTTACATAGAGTTTGCTCAGACGCGAGCAAGCATAAGCTCCGCCCTCGAGCCTTCCTGGAGGTAGATTATGTTCCCAGCCTAGGCTACCTGTAGGAGCTGTGCGGTAGTCTCCGTGCCAGCTAAGGTGTATCTTTATAGCAGTATCGCTTTTATGCTCTTAATTCTGGACTCCGCAAAAACATCGTCCGTTTAATTCGTCTCCATTCCTCATAGAAAAGTCGAGGTCAGAGTCCAGTTCTTTGTCGAACTGAGAATAATCCTAAAAAAATAAACCTTTCTCCAATATATGTGTGTGTGTGTGTGTGTATATATTATATGTTGTATTTGTGCTGATGAATTGTATGTATGTATGTATGTATGTATGTGTGTGTATATACACACACACACACACACACACACACACACACACACACACACACACACAGACACACATATATGAAGAACTCTGCAGTATTCGGAATGTTCTGCTACCTTTTGCACTTGTTTTGGTGGGAGCTCAAGCTTTTCCCTCAGAAGAACCAAAAAGCAAAACATCAGATGGAAAATAAACAAATTCAGTATGGCTTTAACTTTCATAAACTTTATTTAAATATCGGTTGCAAGAAACAACTCCTCTAGGAGAGAAGTGAATCAAAAATGGGTATCAGATGATGGAGTCTGTGAATGCTGATTGGCAATTTCTCGATTTAAGGTAAAACTATATGTCAACAAGTTGCAAATCTCATTACATACTTTTGAATACCAGTATTAAATAGACTCTCTTTTATTATGTGTTTTGTGGACTAAAATCCATTTTGTTAGATGATTGAAATATCCCGAGGTTTCATAAATTGGCAGAACAGTAAACAATGAAGAAAAAAATAGGATGAAAGTACAGTACATTATTTTAGTGGGAAGTATTTTCTATTTTAATTCGAGCATAGTAGAAACTTGGAACCAACTTCCAGTGCAGATAGTGGGTCAATCATCAATAACTGAGTTTAAACATATTTGGGATAAACACATGTCCATCATCTGACAAAAAATTAAAAATAAAATTACAAACATCAGAAGGGCAGGCTCAATGAACCATTCGGTCATTTTCTGTTGTCAGTTTTCTGTTTTCCTGTTTCTATGTGAAGCATACAGAATAATGAATGACAAAAACAAAAACCTTGAATTATATTTATTTAAAGTTTGTTTATATCTCTAACAGAAGGCTTAAACTGAGAGGACAGCAGAGCCTTTTTACATGGCAAACAGAATCAGGAACGCCACCATCAAACAGAAGAGCCCCATGGCTTCCGAAAGGGCAAAACCAAGGATAGCATAAGAAAACAATTGCTGCTTGAGGGATGGGTTCCTGTAAATAGAAAAAAGAAAGAAAAGCCTGTGACATAAACTCTTATTAAATTCTCCAGAATAAAATATTACGTAATGTTTTCCAAACCATTATGGATCCTGATAATTGTTAAACAGCATAGATGATAGGTACTTGACTATAATTTAAAATCTTAGGAAAGTTTGCATAGTTCTGCTCCTATGTAAATAAAGGCTATATATATCCATAGAAACTGCTTCTGTTTTGTCAGCAGTGGATGATACATTTTACCTTTTCTTCTGGGTTCTTTGTCCCTAGAATGAATGGAAGGAGAGATTCCAGAAGCTAGAATGAAGCTGGAATTATTTTTCTCAAAACAAGGATAATTTAAACCAAAAGAGCTGAATATGATCTCAGTATTCTCGCCAGTTTAAAATTCAGTAAAAGATGTTCCTAAATGCAAAACGCTTTACAGGTAATCTTCAACTTACAACCATTCATTTAGTACCTAATAAAAAATTACATTGGTACTGGGGGGGAAAAGACTTATGACGAATTTTCACATAACCGTTGCAGCCTCTCTGTGGTCATGTGATGAAAATTTGGATGCTTGGCAATTGGCATGTATTTGTGAACACTGCAGTGTCCCAGGGTCATGTGATCACCTTTTGTGACCTCCTCACAAGCAAAGTCAATGGAAGATCTAGATGCACTTAACAACCTTCTTATTAACTTAACAACTGCACTAATTCACTGAACTGTGGCAAGAAATGTCATAAAATGGGGCAACATTAATTTAACAATCATTGCTTAGCAATGGAAAATTCAAGGTCAATTTTGGTCAAGTACTACTTGCATCATTTTTCTTTTAAAAAAAAAGACATGATTTGATTCAAAGTTTTATGAACACATGAATCTATATACCATGCAGAGGGGAAGAAAATGACAATAAAGCAGAAATATAATTGTTTTGTGAAAAGGGAGATAATGCCCCAGATGGTAAAAACATGCATTTAAGACAAGTATGCTTTGCGTGCTTTGGAACTGTTTATGATTCTCTTAATCAATGGATTAAGCCCCAGACCACAGACCACTACCGGGCCATGGCCTATTCAGAACTGGGCCAGGGGGAGGCATACATGCACATGCAATTCATGGCCTGGTTCCCCTCTCTTCCCCAAAGCCAGACCACCAAACTACAAAGATTGGGCACTGCTGGGATGCATTCATAGCATTAGCTGCATCTCTCCTGAAAGTTGATGGTTTGAGTCCGAAAAGTCTACTCTTCTGCAATGCCTTCCTTTGGGAATTACTGGAAGGTATACAAAAAGATACCATCACCATTATATCCATATGAGTCAGGATAAGTGGAATCCATTAAGCATGCCACTTTTTACAGATTGAGAGTGTTTTAACAAACTGCATCACTGTTTGGTTTGGTGGCTGCCGTGCCTGAGATAGAAACTCCATAAAGAGAGTGGTAAAGACACCCAAGAAGATTATAGGAAGCTCGCTTCCTGTCATTCAGGATACTGCTTATAAGTACTATGTGCTTAGAGCTCAAAGCATTGTTAGATACCCTACACACCCGCTCTACAGTCTGTTTTTGTTGCTCTCCTCTGGGAGGAGGTTTTGAAGTATTTCTAGCAGGACTACCAGATTCTGTAACAGCTTTGTTCCCTATAACATTTGTCTGATAAACTCACAAGATTCTCTCGCCATATACATGTATACATCTGAACTAGACTTATGTTGTTTCTCCTTGTCATATAGAATTTTGTATTTATGTATTTATTTTGTCATGTTTTTTTATTAGAGTTGAAGACCATTTAAGAGCTATATGCAATCTAATTTCATTTTAATGTATGCCAAAGTGACAATAACATTATTCTAAGTCTACAGACTTCCCTAACTAAAGTTTCAGTATTTCTCAACTATCAGCAAAATTTATTTCTTAGAAGATGGATCTATTTGTGGACAAAGGTTATAAAATAGTTTCTAACTATATAGAAATAATTCTTGCATATTAGTTTACCTGGCATAACCAATGATTAAGCTGCCAAACACTGTTCCAATCCCAGCTCCTGAACCAGCTACTCCCACCGTAGCAGCACCAGCACCAATGAATTTAGCAGCTGTATCAATATCACGGGAGACAGAGCTGGTTTGGATTTCCCGATGAGCCAGCTGATGAGTGGAAAAGCCAAACGGCTGTGAAATGAGCAAATAATTAGTACAGTTAGAGCCAAACATCTGAAAGTTCCATTGTTTTCTTACACAAAAATATGTAATTCAGCATTTAGCTGGTAATGTATTAGGATACATCAAACACAGATATATGATGAGAGGAAAGAAACAACAGCAAGGTTAATGGCTTGCCAACTTTTAGCCAAAGGTAGAAGAAGTATAATTTTCATAATAGTGTTGACCTCTACCTCCCATCAGCCCCAGCTAGCATAACTGATAGTGATAGAGACTAGTATTCAACAGCATCTGGAGGACTAAAGGCTTTTTATAGTTTCTAAGTACTGGAGGTCCATAATAATAAAATATAGAAAGGGAGTTTTTGTAGAACAAAAACAAAAGTTAAATTTCCATAAGTCAAACTCCCTATAAGAAATTTTAGAAAATCCAAACCTCATCTGTGCCTTTTTAAAGATGACAGCTACCATTAAACTGAAAACCTCAGTACTGGACAGATTCACTTGAAATGTTTGTCCATATATGAGATCCTAATTGTGTGATCTTTTATGATTAAGAGGAAATTCCAGAAAACAACTGAACAAGAATAATAGAAATATAGTCAGTTGGAATCAGGTAGCATTAACATTGAATGAATGAATGAATGAATGAATGAATGAATGAATGAATGAATGAATGAATGTATGTATGTATGTAAATATGTATGTATGTATGTATGTATTTATGTATCTATGTTTATTTAAATGGTCCTTGGAAGTTGAAATTCATGAACCATCTAATTTGAAGTAATTTTTACACTAATGTGAGAAGTAAAGAAACATCAGTTGGAAAGATGGCAATTAGACTAGGGGGAAAATAATAATATCAGGATGCACACTGTCTTCTTTCCCATATTTGTGTTCACCTATGCTTGTGGTTTATGAACATTACAAAAGAATTATTTCTGGTCTTATTTAAGTAATATTAAACCTTCATGATCATATGGAAATAATTCCTATAGTGACATTGCCTCCCCCCCTTTTGGGGAGACCAACACTGATGTGCAAAAGACTATATAAAATTCTTCCAATGTTTCCAGTTTGTAAAATATTGTAACAGGAGGCCAGTAATGTCCTAGAGATCCAAGGGTTAAATAGCGCCATTTCTGTACTTTTAGAATATAATGTGTAATAATAACTATTTATACTTACCTGCACAGTTTGTGTCTCAGGCCTACTCAGTAAAGATAGGGAAGCTGGCCTAGTTAGAATTCGAGAACAGCAGCGGAGCTAGAGAGAAAAACATTTCAGTTTATATCCAACAAATCTATGCAGTGGTCTAAACTAGCTATTCAAACCTTAACTAATCCAAATCAATTTAAAATTCCTTACATTTACACTGAAATTTTTTACAGTGACTTTCAATATGTTCTCAAGGAAATACCAAAAAATAATCTTTTTTATATTATTCAACACATCATTTATACACACGGACAGCACCAAATGGACAAATCTGATAGATTATTCTATGTAAAGTACTTTATTATGAGTAAAGTACTTTAAATAGTACTTTCCTATTTTAATTGTGAGAAAATGGCAAATATTGTAAATATATAGTGTACAATTTAATTTGTACTTCAAAACATAAAACATCAGATTTTTTAATATTCAGGATATTATATATTATGTTGCCAGACATAGCAGAGCCGAGGTGGCGCAGTGGTTAGGGTGCAGTACTGAAGGCCACTACAGCTGATTGTTATCTGCAGTTTAGCGGTTCTAATCTCACCAGCTCAAGGTTGACTCAGCCTTCCAGCCTTCCGAGGTGGGTAAAATGAGGACCCAGACTGTGGGGGCGATATGCTGACTCTTTAAACCGCTTAGAGAGGGCTGAAAGCCCTATGAAGCGGTATATAAGTCTAACTCCTATTGCTATTGCTATTAACAGTCTATTGCCATTTTCTCTTAGTCACATTATTACAAGGCTGTCAAGTAAAGGCACTTTTTTCTTCTATTGTAAATTTTTGGATAAATTAACAGTCATGGGAAATGTGGAAAATTGTCCATGTTGAAATAATCTGGCTCCAGAACAAATTGTTTTTTTCCTTATATCTCTAATCCAAGAATTCCAGGGATAATTTGTGCATTTGTGGAAATGCGCTGTTCAAGAAGAGAAAGAAAATTTCAGTATTTCAAATATAGGCTGCTTCTAAACTTGTCTGGAACCAGAAACCATTACTATGCTAACCATTTTGTAAATGCATAAACTATCCTTGAAACACACCAATTGGCTTTTTTTTGAAGGAAAACAGATTCCAGAGTAGAGAATTAACAAGATGGTCCACGACCTGATTATTCCAGGAAGTCCATTTTGCCCAAATGCATCAGTTATTAATAAATGACAGAGACCTTGCCTAGCAGATGAGCAAATACAATGGGAGACATTTTGTTTGCACTTTTTACAGAATTATTTGACCATTTTAATAATTTTTTTAGAAACTAATTTCACAAGGATCAGCAAATAATCTGCCAAAATTCATTGTGCGGCTTAGAAAAAGTCACTTAGCTTTCTCTGTAAAATAGAAATTATATAGATCTGTAAGATCAAATAATTTAAGAGAAATGTATTTATTAGTTTTCCATTAAGCCAGGTACAAGGCAAACATTCCATACCAGAGCTGGTGAAGCTAGAAGAGTTACTGGAGTCTGCATTCTGATTGTCCTGAATGAAGAAAAGAGCTACAATGAGATACACATAGCTTTAAAAAATAATTGAGTTAAAAAAGACACACACAACACCTCCACCACTGTATGGCAAAATATTGCCATTATTAAAAACTTTTTTTTCTTTTACCTGTTGGCTTCCCATTACTAGTATATTTTTAACGAAGTATAAATAAAAAAATTAAATGGTAGATTTAGCAACCACAATTGAGACTGGCAACTCAGTTGTTAAGCAAAGTGTTGCTAAATGAAATCATGGCTGTGCATAATGATCATACTTTGGCTTTCCTTTGTTTTACAAACCTTCAAGGATGACAAATGCCACTATGGTCACTAAATATGGAGTATTAAATCTGTAAGTTAACATGACTACTATGGAGTGAAGGAGGAAGGAAAAGAAGGAAAGAAAGGAAGGGATGTGAAAAGTATTAATTCTGTTACACTACTCCAACTGACATAAGATAATGAAAAATTATCAGAAAAGTACATGTTAATATGGCTATGATATTCAACAGAAAATTACTTTTTTCATTCTTTTACAGGCTATAGATTTTATTAGTGATATTGAAAAATATTAAGCTGCGATGGAAAGAAAATGCTCACAGGATGACACATATCGGACTCTAGTTACAAATATCTAATATTTGTACAGCTATCTCTACAAAATCTCTTTTCTCAGTTTTCCTGCTTCAAACAAGAGCTTTCTAACCAAACCAGATACTAAAATATATCACTAACAGTATCCCAGTACTTTTTCTTTAATATACCCATCCTAGGCATGTAAAATTTTTAGATGCACCATTCATTTCTCTTTTCCCATTTAAGCTCCCATTTTTCATCCGTTTTGCCAGTTTCTCAAAATGATACAGCACAACATAAACAACTTTTGAGGATTAGAGTAGAGCCACACATTCGTTTGTTCTCCCTAACATCAGTCAAATATATAATTATCCAGAAGCCAATTTCACCGTGTTCAATGGAGTTATTCCTTGTTGGCATCAGGATTACACCTTGAAAAGACGGGTTGTAGTCTAACTCAATAATAGTAACGTCGATCAATCACAGGTTGGGAGTTCTCCGAAATTTGTCAGAGAAGAGGCTGTGCAACTTCTAGAAGCCCTAAGAGATTTTAAGCCATGTTATTTTGGTTAGTCAGAAAAAAGAAGCTGTTATGTGGGGGAAATGAAAATACCACCCGGGGGGGGGGGGGAGAGACCTTCGTCCTATCTGACTTCCTCATTGCATCTCTGTACATCATTAATCATTATTTTCTAGCGGTCTGTACCCTCAAGTAACCCGTCTTCCCTTGCACAGCTCCCCGCCTCCTTCGGGTGCAGCACCAACTGCTGCTTACTGTCCCTCCGAAGCTGCTCACCTTCTAGTCTAGAGCAAAGGAAGATTCTACTGAACCCTCAAAATCGCGGCTCTTCCAACCAGCGAAAACCAAGCTCCGCCCGCCCTCGCTCACCTTGCCAAAGTATCACTGCGTCCTCCGCTCCTATTGGTTGACGCGACGCCCAGGGGCTGACGGGATACAACTTTCTTCACTATTCGCGTTTTGGGCGGGGACTCCGCGCGCTCCTCTCTCTCTCTCTCTCTCTCCCCACCCCCCCTCTCTCAAAGAGGATTGGGTAATTCCAAAAGACTCCTTGCTCGCCCATTGGCTAGCTCCCTTACACTGTCGGAGATGGTTCATAAGATAATGCTAACTAGTGGAAGACAGAAGGATCACACGTTCTGGTTATTTCGTGATGTGGAACGTGGAGAGCCTATTTGTGCAGGAAATGGACCAGCCACGTTTTGTAATGCATGGGAAATTCCGAATATGAAATTGCATTCTGTGTCATTTTCGTTGATGTGGCATTTTTGTTGCCATCATAAATTTTGGTTTTCATCAAACGTATTTCTAAGGCTCTTGCCTTAGATTTGATTTACCTGCTGCTTTTCTATCAAGGGCCTGTCTTCCCTAATCTGGTACTTTGCGGATTCTTCCTATATGGGATCTCCATAGATTGTAGCCTGCAAAATATGGAGATCTGAGGGATAGTTGAATGTGAATAACTGTTAGGATTTTTAAAAAAAATCAATGTGAATTTGTAACTTGCAGTTTTGTTTTTACCCCACTTTTATTTTGTATACCTAATACAAATCTTTCATACTGAATCAGAATAGAGCTCGAAGGGACCTTGGAGGTCTTCTAATCCAGCCCCCTGCTCAAGCAGGAGATCCCATACCAGTGGTGGCGAACCGTTTCGGCATGTGTGAGTATGCACACCGGAGCACCAGAAACCCAAAAATTAGCTGCTCTTTGGGTTTTCAGCTGGTCTTTGTGCACGCTAGAAACGCAAAGACCAGCTAGACGACATACATGTTCATTGGCCAGCTGGTCTTTGGGTTTCTGGCACACAGGAAGACTAGCTGTCCAGTGCACATGTACCTGCTGGAAACCAGAAGAGCAGCTGGTGATGGTATGCATGTTCACAAAGAGGGCTCTGCGTGTCACATGGCGTGCCATAGGTTCACCATCACCTTGTCAGACAAGTGATTTAAAACCTCCAGTGATGAAGCAATGATGACGTCTGAAGGCAAGCTGTACTATTGGTTAATTGTCTTCACTGTTAGGTAGTTTTTAATCAATTCCAGGTTGCTTTTCTCCTTGATTAGTTTCCATCCATTGTTTTTTGTCCTGTCTTCTCTGCTTTGGAAAGTAAATTGACCCCATCCTCTTTGTGGCAGCCTCTCAAATACTGGAATACTGCTATCATGTCCCCGCTAGTCCTTCTTTTCTCTAGATTAGCCAAACCCAAATCCTCCAAGTGTTCTTCATATGTTTTAGTCTCCAGGCCTTTAATCATCTTAGTTGTTCTTTTTTGCACTTTCTCAACATCTTTTTGTAATGTGACCAAAACTGGACACAGTATTCCAGGTGTGGTCTTACTAAGATTCTATAAAGTGGTACTAATATTTCATGTGATTTCTATTCTATGCCTCTATTTTTATACAACCAAAGATTGTATTAGCTTTTTTGGCAGTGGCTGCACACTGCTGACTTCTGTTTAATCCTCCGCTAAGATTCCAAGGTCCCTTTTACAGTTTTGGAGCCAAGTTTCACCAAAGTTGTACTTGTACCTTTGGTTTTTCCTGCTCAAGTGTAAAACCTTGCTTTTTTCCACATTAAATTTCATTTTATTCAATAAAATAAATGCCCAGTGTTCAAGTCGGTCAAGATCTTTTTGGATCTTGAGCTTGTCTTCTGGGATGTTGGCTATTCCTGCCAGTTTAATGTCATCTGCAAACTTGATGAGTTCTTCTGTTATCTAAATCATTTATGAAGATATTGAAGAATACTGGGAGTAAGACAGAACTTTGTGGTACTCCATTGCTTACTTCCCTCTATCTAGATGTAGTATCCTTAAGAACTACTTGTTGAGTATGGTTTGTCAGCCAGTTACAAATCTATCTATTGATATGCTATCTATTCCACATTTTTTCTAGTTTACTAAATAGGTTGTGCTTACTTTGTCAAATGCCTTGCTGAAATCTAAATATACTATGTCCATAGCATTTTGCTGATCTGCTAATTTAGTCCCTTTGTCAAATAATTAAATAAGATTGGTTTGGCATGTTCTGTTTTTAACTAACCTGTATTGGCTACTAGTTTTAACTTTATTTGTTTCTAGATGTTCGCTGATCTATTTTTTGAATAATATCATTCCAGGTATTGATGGTAGGCTGATTGGTCTGTAGCTTCCGGGGTCTGCTTTTTCATTCCTTTTTTGAAGATGGGAACTACATCAGCTCTTTTCCAATCCTCTGGTAACAACCCAGTGCTCCAAGATTTTTTTAAAGATATGATACTGTGGGAAGTTATCATCCAGCCCTCTCCCAGAAAAATAAAATATCCTAGGAAATATTGAAAAGGCAGAATATTTCTCTGGATATGAAAAGAAAGAAACATGTTTTAAAAGACAGAATAGTTGCCTGTAGCTTCCTGCCCATCCCCACTGTAAATGGGCCATTGAGAAGGCCAGGCTAGTCCCTTTTACATAATAAAGACTTCTCCACTGCAGCCCCAGGGGGTGGGTGGGAGTAAAGGCATGATAATATTGACACTTTACTCAACTGACCACATGGCATCTGAGAACTCATCCATACCTAGATTCAAAACACAGCCTAGAGAGTAGCCCCTGCATGGCCCCATGGGAGTCTGACAACCAATCAGAATACATTTCTTACACAGGACCAGGAAACAGAGAGGTGGGACTGAACAGGTTATAAAAAGCCTAGCAAGCCCCTCCCTCAGCCCTTCTCTTCTTCTTCACCAACATTGAAGCATGTGATCACCTTTTCTGTTCAGGGCTCAAGCCATGTGGCCCTGTCCAACAATAAACCATCTTTCCAAGCAGCCTCCATGTCTCCAGTGTCTTTATCCCCACTTGGAGCTGAATCCAGAAGGACATTTCTTTCATCAATACAATGGTTCTGAGATAACATCTGCTGACCCTTTCAGAACTCTGGGATGTAATCCATCAGGTCCCAGTGATTTATATTCATCAAAGTCAGATAGGTGTTTTCTTACCATTTTCTTGCTTATTTAAATTTTTATTTCTACTCTGTCTTTTACAGTTATGTTTTTGGTATGTTGGCCTATAGTTTCATTTTCTGTGAAGAATGATGCAAAGAATGAGTTAAGCAGCTCTACTTTCTCTTTGCTCCCTGTTACTTTCATGATATCTTCTCTCTTTAATGGGAGGTTTAATGAGTAGAAATGAAGAGCATACTTCCATTGTTGTTGTTGTTATTTGGAACTTTAAAAAGTAGTGGATTCTAAATGATTGGTTAGCTAAGGATAAATTGTATCTGTCCTCAAAGGTAAGTGAACAGTATAGCAAAGATAGGGAGACCATAGTAATTTTCTATGGAATAAGAAATTCAATATTCACAGGAGATGGCAGGATTACTTTTAAAAGATTGACAAAATAATTGTGGACAATGTGTAAAATAGATTTGGTGGCAAGTTTTTTAAAAATCTTGCTCTTCTATAAATTTTGCTTAAGGAAATTTCTTCGGTTTATCAGAATGGATAGCAATAGCAAGAGTACTTAGACATTTATACTTCATAGTGCTTTTACAGCCCTCTCTAAGTGGTTTGCAGAGTCAACATATTTTCCCCAACAATCTGGGGCCTCATTTTTTACTCACCTCAGAAGGATGAAAGGCTGAGCCAACCTTGAGACAGTGAAATTTGAACTGCCGAACTGCAGCTAGCAATCAGCTGAAGTAGCCTGCAATACTGCGCCACCTCGGATGAAAGTGAAATCCAGACTTTTCTCATTTTTTAATAAATCCTGTTCCTAGTTTTTTCCCTCAGAATTCTTAATTATGAAATCATGATTAATCTTATTCTGGATTTAATCCTGTCATAAATCTTAATACTAGCCTGGATTAAATCCTGCCATCTGTTTTTTTTCTGTGTCCACAATGGCATTGTCATTTTTTTCTCCATCTCGAAGCTCAGGCAGCCTTAAGTAATTTTTAGCTGATCCATTATTAAAGTGTTGAAGCCAAAAGCCAATTCCAAGATGAGTAAAATATGAGACACTGTATTCTGATGACAGTAAGAGGTGGAGTCTATTTAGTACCTAATGAGTATTTTAGACTGGAATAAACATGTCCCTTCTGCAAATTACCAAATTACCTGCAAATTAACTCTATGCATGGGGCTATGAATATCATTTGTTTATTAGCTAGGGTCTGCCCATTAAATCAAACTCTCCCTCTGCCTATGACTTCCTGCAGTCTGCAGATCGTCTGATTGGTGGGTTTTAGGAAGTGATGGGTATCAAAAGAACTACATAGTTTTGCTGTATCACACTATCAGAATCTGCCAATGAAGTGATCAATAGACTACAAGAAGTTCAAGCTTGATATTCTTACCTAGCTGATTCCCATCCTGCTGATTAATATAGTTGGGGATTACCCAGTAAAGTAGGAGAGTTCAACTCTTTCAAGACTTGGATTCTTTGTGAACTTGCCTAATTGTTCTGCCATTAACTGATCATGTGATCAACACTGATCATCACTCCACAAGAAAAATGTACATTTATTTGTACAGTACACTATGCTCTGTCCAGCAATCTTTTTACATCAAGCTCATCTGTCAGTTCTCTCAGATACCACCAGGAGGAGATATTCACCAGTCTTCTATTTTAGAAACAGGTAAGTCACTACCTGTACATGAGATCCACCAAAGCATTCTTTTCTAAGGTTACTCAGATAGCAACTCAGTACATGCGATTTGGATAGTATTCTTTGCTGACTTGTAATGACAAGATTTTAGACCAAGAACCAATTTTCACTTCATTCTTTCTTGCTTTCTGTTTTTGTTACCATTATTCCAAGAACTGAAACTTTCCCATAGTAATGAAAGAAAATGTACATTAAAATGTTTGCGAGAT